TCCAGTGCTCACTGGAGCACCAGACTGTGGAGGGGGCGGGAACAGCTGACTCAGGCTCTCAGTGGCATGATGAGAAGCTGAGCCAGTTACTTGTCAGGCACATGGGCAGATCCTGACTTTATTGTTGGGATCTCTGCAGAGCCTGGACTGGCTCTGTAACATCAGCCAACAGCAGACTTTAGCCCTCTGTCAACTGAATCTGGGTCACAGGAGTGCAGAACTAAGTGCACTTCTGTGACTCACAGGAGAAGTATGGCCAAAGGAGCTTTGGCCATACTTCTCTTTTAATGGCACCCTGCTATCTTAACCTCTTGGCGCTGGCCGCACGCAAGTGTGCGGTCTCCTGGCGTCTGGGCCTTGAGGCCGAGCGGCTGCACATTTGCCTGCAATTAAGAAAACATATGTGCTGAGAACGCGTGCCGTGCGCGATCCCAGCGCACATGTCCGGTACTCACGGAAAGGTCCCGATCTTCTCTTGCGATCGGGATCTTTTCCAATCATGTGACTGCCATGACAGCGAATCACGGCAGTCACATGACCCTAAAACCCCGCTCCACCTCCCGGCTTCTGAAACCCTTAAAGGGCTGGGAGGCGCCGACGCCAAGGGGTTAAGTAAGCAGGAGTGCAGTTGTTCTCAACAATGACCTGCAGCATATCTGCATACGTACAGGGGTTCCTCATGGCATGCCGGTATGGATAGTTTCTCTATTAGAGCCTACATATAGGAATTTGCCTATATAAGGTCCTTTTCACATTATCAGCCTGATAATTCATTTCTATGGAACAGCGGATGTAGACGGACTTGTGTCTGTTTACACCTGCCTACCTCTAAACCGATCTGATTCACTAAACAAAACGAAAGGGAATCCACCCCCCTCTGTCTAGCAGATTGGAGAGCAGTCAGGTGAAACGGACAGCTGGTCCATTTACACCCAGCCACCCATAAAGCAGACCTGTCTGTGTCCATGTCCACCTAGCTTAAATGGGGTGAACACAGACCTGTCATCCTCCCACTCTGCTCAGCAGGGGATCAGTTGACAGATCCCCCACCAAGCAAAAAAGAGTTAAGCAGAGGTCAGCCCATGTGAAAGAACCTAAGGGTACTGATATTGTAAGCATCCCACCCTCTTTGCAGTTGTGTGATGCAGGGCAGGGAATGACCCAACCTGCACCTGGATTAAAAAAAAAATAAAATAAAAGTTTGGATAGAGATGATTTCGGAGGATGCCCAAACTCATATCTAGGTGTACAGAGTCATTCATTTGAAAAACAGGATTGGAATATTGGAATGCATACTCATATTTTCTTAAAGTGTAATGGCAAAACTTTTTTTTTTGTTTTAGATAGAGCGGAGAGGGATTAAGACACCTGACAGTTTTCGTTGCTGTCTGTGCCCCATTAGATAAATTCCCCCCTCTCAATTTTTCGATTTTGACCTAAAGGGACACTTTTTGGATGCCATGGACTTTTCTCAGTTTCCAGGCAGGCAGGGCACAGGACAAAGCACCCGGGACAAAATGTATGTGAAATGGTTTGATACAGTAATGTTATACTATGTGATTTTAGTGTATTTAGTGAATGTCACTTTTTAACATTTTTAAATTTCACACCGGTTCCATCCCCTGTACGTCCCGACTCTCGCAGGAACCGGAACCCAGCAGACGGATGCCGGCATCAGCCGGAGGAGGTGGCTGGGGACGCTGCAGGGGGGACATCGCGGGAGCGAAGGACAAGGCAAGTGCAAGAGGGAATCCCTGAGCAACGCTGCAGGGTAATCTCAAGTGTAGCTCGGGGTTACTGCTTCTGGTACTGAAAGTTAACCCCGAGCTACACTCAAGAATACTGCCAGGGAGGTTAATCATTAATCTACACTCAGTACCCCATAATGACAAAGAAATGAAAACAGAATTTTAGAAATGTCTGCGAATTTATGGAAAAGGAAAATCTGAAATATCACATTGGTATTACCCTAGGTTCACATCTAAGTGTTTTCTGCAGCATTTTGCAGAAAATGCTACAATCCATTTAACATGATTTCCTATGGGACATGTTCACTTCTCCGCGTTTTTACCCAGTGCGTTTTTTGGAAAGGGTCAGGGACTTTTTTGAATGCAAAAAATTAAGTTTTGGGTTCTATAGACTTCAATGGAAACGCTGCAGAAAAGCATGTAGTGCGTTTTTGCTACATTTTTTTATGCATTTTGCATTTTAAATCTGCCTAGCAACAAGAAAACTTTAAAAAAAAAATGCATCACAATTGCAGTACAAACATGTCAAAAGCGCAGGTGCAAAAACACAAAGCAGAAACGAGTCAAACGCAAACTGCATAGGTGTGAAGCTATCCTAAGTATTCAGACCCTTTGCAACAACACTTGAAATTTAGCCCAGGTGCCTCCCATTTCTCTTGATCGTTGCTGATTGCTTGATTGGAGCCCACTTGTGGTAAATTAAATTGATTGGACATAATTTACAAAGGCAAACAACTCTCTATAAAAGGCCTCACAGCTGACAATGCATATTGTATTAGAGCAAAACCCATGAGGTCAAAGGACCTACCTACAGAGATCAGAGACATGATTATTGCAAGGCACAGATCTGGGGAAGGCTAGGAAAAATGCTGCACTGAAGGTTCCAAATAGCACATTGGCCTCCGTAATTCTCAAATGGAAGAAGTTTGGCACAACCAGAACTCTTCCAAGAGCTGGTCGCCTGGCCAAACTGAGCAATTGGAGAAGAGTTTTAGTAGGAGAGGTGACCAAGAACCCAATGGTTACTCTGACTGAGCTCCAGAGATCCTGTGTGGAGATGAGACAAAGTTCCATAAGGACAACCATCACTGCAGCCCTCCATCGATCTGGGCTTTAAGGCAGAGTAGGTAGACGAAAGCTCCTCCTCAGTGCAAAACACATGAAAGCCCACTTGGAGTTTGCAAAAAAGCACCTGAAGGACTCTTAGATTGTGAGGAACAAGATTCTCTGGTCTGATGAAACCAAAGTTGAACTGTTTGACCTCAAACAATTGCCCAGTGCCATCATGGTGAAGCATGGTAGTGGCAGCATCATGCTGTGTTTTTCAGCAGCAGGGACTAGTAGACTGGTCAGGGTTGAGGGAAAGCTGAATGTAGCAAAGTAGAGAGATATCCTCAATGAGACCCTGTTCCACAGCACCCAGGACGCCAGACTGGGCTGAAGGTTCACCTTCCAACATAACAACGATCCTAAGCACACAGCCAAGACAACATAGGAGTGACTTAGGGACAACTCTGTGAATGTCCTAGAGTGGTCCAGCCAGAGCCCTGACTTGAACCCTATTGAACTTCAACTCTGGACAGACCTGAAAATGGCTGTCCACTGACTGTCTCCTTCCTACCTGACTGAACTTGAGAGGATTTACAAAGAAGTATAGCAGAAAATCCCTCAACACAGGTGTACAAAGCTTGTCGTGTCTTACCCAAAAAGACTCCCGGGTGTAATTCAAGGTGCTGCAACAAAGTACTGAGTAAAGGGCTTGAGTACTTAAAGTGGAGTTCCACCCAAAAGGGAAAGTTCTACTTTAAATACTGGTCCCCCTTTCCCCATGAGGTATTGGCACCTTTGGAGAGCAAATACCTAATTTTGGCAAGAACTGCTGCTGCGATTGCCTAGGTGATTGGAAGTGGAATTTGTGCTTCCCCCCATCACACATCCCAGAAGACTACGGGACCATTCACAACTTTTGCCTTTAGTTCTACTTTATTTCAGGAATCCCTTGCATGGGATACCAATGATTCACACCTTTCTGAAACATTTATTTTATTGTTCCTGTTTCCATATGTTGTAAGGAACAGGTTGCTTGCAACATATAGCTAAGAAGCCCCTAGAGAACATTTTAACCACTTCCTGACTGCCCTATAGCAGTACTGCTACAGGGTGGCAGGGCTGCGCAAAATCACACACACACACAAACACGTGAGTTTGTATTTCTAAATAGGGGGGTGCGCACCGCCCTACCCGTGCCGCCATTGGCAGCTACCTGCTACAGCTGTCGATCACCGGGTCCTGGCTGAAGATTCCCCGCTGACATCTGGCGATTGCCGAGGAACACTAACAGTGGAGATGTCTGTATGTAAACAATACAGATCTCCCCCGTCAGCTCCAGCATGCTGCTTTGTATTGCAGAGCAATACAAAGCAGCATGCTTACTTAGTAAAGCACACACAGACAACATAGTAAAACAGCACACAGTTAACTCTTTGATTGCCCCATGTTAATCCCTTCCTGCTCAGTGCCTTTTATTAGCACCGATCACTGTAATGTCACTCGGTATGTCAGTGGCAGTTAGCTCCCCCCAGTGTCAGAATGCCCACCGCAGTCCTGCAATAGGTAACTGATCACTCATAATATTATAAAGAAAAAAAAATTCCAGTATCTATACCGCCATTTGTAAACAGTATAACTTTCACATCAACCAATTCATTTACATGTATTGGGATTTTTTTTTAGTAAAGACATGTTGCAGAATACATTTTGGCCTAAATTTATGACAAAATTTGATTTTTAAATGTTTTTACTGGACATGTAAAAAGTCAAAAAGATTCTTTTCAAATTTTTTGTTTTTTTTTTGTTTATAGCGTAAAAAATAAAAACCACAGAGGTGATCAAATGCCATTGAAGGAAAGATCAATTTTTGAGAAAAAAAGGACATAAATTTTAATATGGGTGCAGCGTTGCATGACCGCATAATTGTCAAAGTAACACAAAAAAATGGCCTAGTCAGGACGGGGTAAATCCTCTGGATGGTAAGTAAAGAAGGCTAAGATCTGATTGCTGGATATAGAATCGACCATGAACACACAATAACTCCTATAGAGGTCACCCCTGTGCGTTCTCGCTGGTTCTATCGCACTAGTACTATACACTGAGGTATTTTATCGCGTCTTATCAACCACATGCCACCTCCCTCAGTGTAGTGACACGTGACTAGAGTTCCCGCCCCCTCAGCACGTGTTCTCACTGGCAAGTCACATGATCACATGGAGCCGGGGCTTGTGTACAATGTTCCTCCGCCGGTTGCTGGGAGTAGTGAGGGGATGTTACGTGGTGCGGAGGGTCACATTGGTCCCGGGCAGCTGTCGGTATGGTGGTCACGTGGTGTCGTTCCTCGGTCCTGAGCGGCTGTACGCCTTGGGGCTCCGCACATTGTGGAGGGGAACGCCGAGCAGGAAGTCTTGGTCAACGGGGGGCTGGGATGGAGGGAATTACGGGGACTCTGATGAAGAGGACGAGGATTTGGAGGAGCTTCTGGTTTCTCCGACGCCCGCCCTCCATGGGGCGCAGAAGATTTTCATTGTACATCCAAATGTTAAATGGGGGGCTAAGAAACCGCATGACACCACTGGTAATGATGATAATGGGGACATTGGGGGCTGTGAGGAGAGGAGCAGGGCTTCTCTGTCACCTAGGACAGGAGGGGCTACACCCAGTGTGATCACAGAGAGGGGCTGCCTCCCATCTGTGCAGTGTGTTAATGCCATTTCCTGTTTTAGGTGCACGACCATTGACTAATATGGGATATGTGTTTTGATGACAGCGCAGCAAAGATGCAGCATGCAGGATTCCATTAGGATGTGTTCTAGTACAGTTCAGCGGTAACCTGCCTAAAAAGCATGTCAAATATGCAATGCTGGTGGTGGTTTACATCTAAAGTTGGCCATATGTCATACCATCTGATTTCTTTAAGACTCCATTCACACTTGTGCGACTTTGGAACCAGGATGTGACTTGTCCAGACCCAAAGTTGGACCTGCTGTTGCATGTAAAACATTCAGGTGTGACTTTCGTGCAACTTTTGAGGGTTAAAATTGAAGGCTATGTTCCTCAAGTTGCATGAACGTCTGACCAAAGTAGTGTATGAACTCCTTTGAAGTCGATGCAACTTTTAAAGCGGAGTTCCAGTCATTTTAGTCAGCGGTTACAAAAAATAGCTGCTGACTTAAGAAACACACTCTCACCTGTCCCAGGGTCCAGCAATGTGCTCACCCAACGTGTTCCTTCTCTCCTGCTTGCATCAGCATCTCAACCAGGGCTGGATCTAGCTTAATGTTGGGGTGCAGTAAAAATGTCGGGGCAAAGGATGGGAGGTCAGCAGGGCAGAGGATAAGGCAAGCATTTTGCAGGGCAGTGTACAGAGGGTCAGAAGTGTGGAGGACTGGGGTCAGTAGTAAGTGAAGCAGAGTTCAGGGATATGTAACCTTCAGTAAAAAATGTCAGGGGGGCAGAGGATGGGAGATCAGCAGGGCAGTGTACAGGGGTTAACAGGGCAGCGGATAAGGCAAGCAGTTTGTAGGGCAGTGAACAGAAGCTATTAATTTGCAGGGCAGTGTAAAGATGGTCAGAAGGGTGGAGGACTGGGGTCAGTAGTAAGTGAAGCAGAGTTCAGGGATATGTAACCTTCAGTAAAAAAATGTCAGGGGGGCAGAGGATGGGAGGTCAGCAGGGCAGTGTACAGGGGTCAACAGGGGAGAGGATAAGGCAAGCAGTTTGTAGGGCAGTGTACAGAGGCTATTAGTTTGCAGGGCAGTGTACAGAGGCTATTAGTTTGCAGGGCAGTGTACAGAGGCTATTAGTTTGCAGGGCAGTGTACAGAGGCTATTAGTTTGTAGGGCAGTGTACAGAGGCTACAGAGGCAGAGGCTATTAGTTTGTAGGGCAGTGTACAGAGGCTATTAGTTTGCAGGGCAGTGTACAGAGGCTATTAGTTTGCAGGGCAGTGTACAGAGGCTATTAGTTTGTAGGGCAGTGTACAGAGGCTATTAGTTTGTAGGGCAGTGTACAGAGGCTATTAGTTTGCAGGGCAGTGTACAGAGGCTATTAGTTTGCAGGGCAGTGTACAGAGGCTATTAGTTTGCAGGGCAGTGTACAGAGGCTATTAGTTTGCAGGGCAGTGTACAGAGGCTATTAGTTTGTAGGGCAGTGTACAGAGGCTATTAGTTTGCAGGGCAGTGTACAGAGCCTATTAGTTTGCAGGGCAGTGTACAGAGGCTATTAGTTTGCAGGGCAGTGTACAGAGGCTATTAGTTTGCAGGGCAGTGTACAGAGGCTATTAGTTTGCAGGGCAGTGTACAGAGGCTATTAGTTTGCAGGGCAGTGTACAGAGGCTATTAGTTTGCAGGGCAGTGTACAGAGGCTATTAGTTTGCAGGGCAGTGTACAGAGGGTCAGAAGGGTGGAGGACTGGGGTCAGTAGTAAGTGAAGCAGAGTTCAGGGATATGTAACCTTCAGTAAAAAATGTCAGATGGGAGGTCAATAGGGCAGAGGATACAGCAAGCATTTTTTAGGGCAGTGTACATAGGGTCAGAAGGGTGGAGGACAGGGGTCATTAGTAAGTGAAGCGGAGTTCAGGTATATGTACTCTCCAGAGGCCAGGAGTGTGCAAAGCACAAAATGCACACTTCTCTTTGTCTTTAAAGGATCAGTGATTGCAGATAGATAATTTTGCCCTCTTTAACCACTTGCTCTCCAGAGGATTTACCCCCCTTCCTGACCAGGCCATTTTTTACGTTACGGCACTGCGTTACTTTAACTAACAATTGCGCGGTCATGCAACACCGAACCCAGATTAAATTTCTCCTTTTTTTTTTTTTTCCACGTATTGAGCTTTCTTTCGGTGGTATTTGATCACCTATGCGTTTTTATTTTTTGCGCTATTAGCAAAAAAAACCCAACAATTTTGAGAAAAAAAAACAATATTTTTGACTTTTTGCTATTACACATGTCCAGTAAAAAAAATTTAAATCAAATTTTGTTATAAATTTAGGCCAAAATGTTTTCTGCTACATGTCTGCTAAAAAAAAAAAAAAAATCCCAATATGTGTAAATTAATTGGTTTACGTGAAAGTTATAGTATTTACAAATGGCGGTATAGATACTGGGATTTTTTTTTCCTACTAGTAATGGCAGAGATCAGCGTCTTTTAGCGGGACTGCGGCAGGCATTATGACACTGGGGGGGGAACTAAATTGGTGTCATTGACAACCCCAGTGACACCAATACAGTGATCAGTGCTAAAAAAAAAAAGCACTGACACTGGGCAGAAAGGGGTTAATGTGAGGGGTGATCAAAGGGTTAACTGTTTGTAGGGAGTGTTTTACTAGGGTGTACATATATATAATTTATATATGTACACTATATTGCCAAAAGTAATGGGACACCCCACCAAATCATTGGATTCAGGTTCTCCAATCACCTCCATGGCCACAGGTGTATAAAATCAAGCACCTAGGCATGCAAACTGCTTCTATAAACATTTGTGAAAGAATGGGTCACTCTCAGGAGCTCTGAATTCAAGTGTGGTACTGTGATAGATTGCCACACCCTGCAACTAACTGCTGGTGATATTGTAACAAAGTGGAAGCAACTGGGAAAAACAGCAACTTAGCCACAAAGTGGTAGACCATGTAAAATGACAGAGTGGGGCCAGTGCAACTTTTGGCACAAACGTTGCCAACTGTCTGCAGAGTCAATAGCTAAAGACCTCCAAACTAGGTGTGGCCTTCAGATTAGCACAACAAATCATGCTTCTCTGGCAATTCGATGGCTGTGTCTGGCAGTTGCCAGAACAGTACTTGCCTGATTGCATTGTGCCAAGGATAATGTTCGGTGGAGGGGGGGATTGCTTTTCAGGGGTTGGGCTTGGCCCCTTAGTTCCAGGGAAGGGAACTCCTAAGGTGTCAGCATACCAAGATATTTTGGAAAAATTTATGCTCCTAACTTTGTTGGAACAGTTTGGGGATGGCCCCTTCCTGTGCCAACCTGACTGCGCACCAGTGCACAAAGCAAGGTCCAAAAGACATGCATGAGCGGGTTTGGGGTGGAGGAACTTGACTGGCCTGACCTCAACCTGATAGAACACATTTGGGATGAATTAGAGCAGAGACTGCGAGCCAGGCCTTCTCTTCTGACATGAGTGCTGACCTCACAAATGTGCTTCTTGAAGAATGGTCAGACTTCCCATAGACACCACTCTAAATCTTGTGGACAGCCTTCCCAGAAGAGTTGAAGCTGTTATAGCTGCAAAGGGTGGGCCAACTCAATATTGAATCCTACAGACTAAGACTGGGATGCCATTAAAGTTCATGTGTGTGTAAAGGCCGGCATCCCAATACTTTAGTACACACGCTGTAAAATAAGTAATGAACATGTCACCATTTTTCTAGGTAAATATATTTCTAAAGGTGCTATTGACATGACATTTTCACCACGTCGGTAACGACCCATGCAATCCATACATACAAAGAAACCAAAACAAATTAAGAAATTAAGTTATCTGTAATAAAATGGAATGACACAGGAAAAAAGTATTGAACACATGAAGAAAGGGAGGTGCTAAAAGGTATGGAAAGCCAAGACACCAGCTGAAAACCATCAGTAATTAGCAATCCTGCTCCTTGCCAGTGCAAATTAATATCAGCTGGTTGTCTTAACTGATGGCCTATAAAAAAGGTGTCTCATTACCAAGGTGTCACACAATAAAAATCTCATGATGGGTAAAAGCAAAGAGCTCTCTGAAGACCTTCGCAACCTTATTAATGCAAAACATACTGATGGCATTGGTAACAGAAGGATATCTAAACGTCTGAATGTTCCAGTGAGCACTGTTGGGGCCATGAACCGGAAGTGGAAAGAACATCATTTCACTATAAGCCGACCACGACCAGGTGCTCCCTGCAAGACTTGACGGGAGTGAAAATAATTAGAAGAGTTGTCCAAGAGCCAAGGACCACTGGTGTAGAGCTTCAGAAAGATCTGGAATTAGCAGGTACAATTGTTTCAAAGAAAACGATAGGTAATGCACTCAACTGCCATAACCTGTATGCACGCTCACCACGCAAGACTCCATTGCTAAAGAAAAACCATGTTGAAGCGCTTTTAAAATTTGCAGCACAACATTTAGACAAGCTTGTGAAATACTGGGAGGATATTGTCTGGTCAGATGAGACCAAAATTGAACTGTTTGGATGCCATAATACACACCATGTTTGGAGGTCAAATGGCACTGCACATCACCCCAAAAACACCATACCAACAGTGAGGTTTGGAGGTGGGAACATCATGGTGTGGGGCTGTTTTTCAGCATATGGTACTGGCAACTTCATATGATTGAAGGAAGGATTAATGGAATGTACCAAGATATTCTTGATAAAAATCTGTCATCTACCAGGATGATGATGAAATGAGGGTGGATATTTCAGCAAGACAATGATCCCAAACACAAAGCCGAGGAAATTCAATTGGCTTTAAAGAAATAAAATAAAGCTACCAGAATGGCCCAGCCAATTACCTGACTTGAACAGGAGGTATTAAATAAATTTCAGTTACTGTGTGCAATAATGTTTCCCTGTGTCATTCCATTTTATTGCACATAACCTAATTTCTGAACTTACTTGTTTTGGTTTCTTTGTATGCATGGAAAAATGGTGACGCATTCAATACTATTTTACCCACTCTGTGTGAGCCTACTTTCACACCTCTGTTTTTAGGTACTCCCAATTTCCACGGAATCGGTGAAAGCGCAGGAGAACTGCATTCTCACAATGTGTAAAAACACATGTTGATGTGCTACCATTTAAGGCTCCATTCACATGTGTGTAGCAATTTTGTAAATTTTGTCTTGTGTTTTTATGCACGTATGCAAATGTTTGTGCACAATTTGGTCAGGCGGTTTCTGGCCTTTTGAGTTCTGGTGATTTTTGTATTCGAGAAGAGAGAAAAGTTTCATCTGTGACATCAGTTGTTGCCATGCCAGAAAAACACTCTTGGTCGCGCGTTTCCATGTGTTTCTATGGAAATGCACAAAAAATGCATCGATCTGCATGAATGGAGCTACAAAAGTAGCGCCAAAACCTTCTTTTTTTTTTTTTTTTTTTTTTTTTTATTAGGTGACTTGGAGTGGAACCATCTCCATAGAGTAATATTGATTTCTATAGATTTGCCTGAGTGTTTTGAAGCTTTGAGCTACAGAACGCTCAGTTGTGAATGGGGACTAAATCTATGAACAAGCATGTCCTTTGCAGTAAAATGCATAGGTGTGAATGAAGCCTAATACAGTGAAGGAAAAGTCTGGCCCATTCTTTCCTGAATAAACCTTTTTGTTCCCATTTGTTCTATTCGGAAGTTTCATTTTAACAGCTGCAATGAAGTGGGTCCTACACCCTGCTGCCTGATGATTCCTGTAATTATCTTCTCTCCATTGATGATGGATCCCCTTCATAGTACTGGATTTCTGGCACTGCAGGGGTTAATAGTTTCAGGTTTAACATTGAGGGTACATTGAAGAAAGTCTGGATAGGCGACTGCCCCTTTTTGTTCTCTCTTCTTTTGACAAATTCCTTACATTGTTTTCACAGAATGCAACACATTTTGGTGATTGGGGGGATGACTGTCAGTCATCTGCCACTCTCTCACTCCATTCTGAAGCCCACTTTATGGGCAATCCTGTGGGTGGAGGTACAGCCAGCACTGATCCTACATCCCCTCTTTAAGCTGACTTGGACAAGCAACGTTGTTTGTTCATTCGTGACAGTAAACGATCGTACAGTGCTGCGGGTGTGTGTAATCCGTGTATGTTTACAAGCAACTGCAGATAGCTGACACAACCCCACAGCACAGAGTAATCATTTACTATTGTGAATGAGCAGACAGCAGTGTTTGCCCATTCATAATAGTAAGGGCTTGTTCACATCATATGTGCATGAAAACTGATACGCAGATTTTACTTGCACAGACATCAGTTTTCATGCACACTTCAATGAGTTTTATATACCTTGCAGATTCCTGCTCAGAAAAAATCTGAATGTGATACTGGTGTTGTGGTGTGAACAGGACACATAAAGAACAATTGATTTTGTTGTGCCCTTGCAAAACGCATGCAGAAAAAATTACATCTCTGCTTGGTGTGAATGAGCCCTGTCTGGAAGGTGTGTAAACACAGTCATGCAGTGCTGCCTGTTCTCAACCGCTTCCTGACCGCCCTGTAGCAGAAACACTATACTAATATATATATACACGTGATTTTGCATTTCCGGGTAGGGGGCATGCGTGCCCTTCCTGAGCTGCTATTCGCTGTCAGTCACCGGGTCCTGGCCGGTAATTACTCACCGGCGCCCGGTGATTTCTGAAGATCTCCGATGAGGAGGAGAACTGTTTTGTTTACAAACAGTTCTCCTAGCGGTCAGCTCGGGCCCAGCACAGCCATCCAGAGCAGTGTGATTTACAGTGCAGCACACTGACACCGCCACCTAGTAAAACACTCCCTGCACACAGGTAACCCTTTGATTGCCCCTCATGTTAAACTGATCACTGTATTGGTGTCACTGGGGATGTCAGTGACACCAAGTCAGTTCCCCCCCAGTGTCAGAATATCCGCTTCAGTCCCACTATAAGTCGCTGATTGCCACCACTAGTAAAAATAAAACCTAAAAAAATAAAATCCCAGTATATATACCGCCGTTTGTAAGCACTATAACTTTCACGTAAACCAATTCATTTACACAAATTGGGATTTTTTTTTTTAGCAAAGATGTAGCAGAATACATTTTAGCATAAATTTTATGACAAAATTAGATTTTAAAAATTTTTTACTGGACATGTTTTTAATAGCAAAAAGTAAAAAATATAGGGTTTTTTTTCTTATAGCGCAAAAAATAAAAATCACACAGGTGATGAAATACCACCAAAAGATAGCTCAATTTGTGGGGGAGAAAAAGAACATAAATTTGATTTGGGTGCAGCATTGCATGACCGCGCAATTGTCAGTTAAAGTAACAGTGCCGTAATGCAAAAAATGGCCTGGTCAGAAAAGGGGGATAAATCCTCTAGAGGGCAAGTGGTAATAATAAAAGATACCCAGAGCTGTGTATTTACAAACAGCAGCGCAGATTTTGTGATCTGTTGTGAATAGCAGTGTTGGTCTCCTGGCTGACATTTTCTGGCAGAAGCTAACAATGTCAGTCACAAACCTGTTTCCATGCTAAGCATCACTTTCAGAAGGTTTAGCAACTCGATTTTTGCCTTTTGCTGGTAAGGCTGTCCGTTTCAGATTGAGTCTGCTAATCTTTACTTGAATGAGAATTTTTATTTGATTCATAAGTGCTGGTGTTTATGATAAATGTTAGCTTTAGAATCCAATGTGGAATTGCAGAATAGAATACCATTTACATAGTGAGGTAGATTTACTAAAACTGGTCCACTCAGAATCTGGTGCAGCTGTGCATGGTAGACAGATTCTAACTTCAGCTTGTTCAGTTAAGCTTTGACTAAAAAAAAACCTGGAAGCTGATTGGTTTCTACGCAGAGCTGCACCAGTCTATGTGCCATGCAGGTTTAGTAAATGCCCCCCCACTGTCTTTACTAATGGCCTTGTCTTTTTTTCCAGCTGAACTTTTAGTCGCTGAAGCAGTGACTCTAGTACACAGCATTCCTAACTGGATAGTTGTGGATAAGCTAATCATGTCTACAAAATCACCTGATCAGAAATACATTTTTGGAAAGGGGAACTTTCAGACTCTTACAGGTAATATATTGAAAATGTTGTTTACACTTACAGTGGATATAAAAAGTCTGCATGCTCCTGTTAAAAAGTTAGGTTTCTGTGATGTAAAAAAATGAGACAAAGATAAATCATTTCAGAACTTTTTCCATCTTTTAATGTGACCTATAAACTGTACATCTCAGTTGAGCAACAAACTGAAATCTTTTAGGTGGAGGGAAGTAAAAATAAAAAACGAAAATATGGTTGCATAAGTGTGCACACCCTTAAACTAATACTTTGTTGAAGCATCTCTTGATTTTATTACACCACTCAGTCTTTTTGGGTATGAGTCTTATCAGCATGGCACATCTTGGCTTGGGCAATATTGGCCCACTTTTCCTTGCAAAAACACTCCAAATCTGTCAGATTGCGAAGGCATCTCCTGTGCACAGCCCTCTTCAGATCACCCCACAGATTTTTGATCGGATTCAGGTCTGGGCTCTGGCTGGGCCATTCCCAAACTTTCATCATCTTCTGGTGAAGCCATTCCTTTGTTGATTTGGATGTATGCTTTGGGTCGCTGTCATGCTGAAAAATAAAGTTCCTCTTCATGTTTAGCTTTCTAGCAGAAGCCTGAAGGTTTTGTGCCAATATTGACTGGTATTTGGAACTGTTCATAATTCCCTCTACCTTGACTAAGGCCCCAGTTCCAGCTGAAGAAAAACAGCCCAAAGCATGATGCTGCCACCACCATGCTTCACTGTGGGTATGATGTTCTTTTGGTGATGTGCAATGTTGTTTTTGTGCCAAACGTATCTTTTGGAATTATGGCCAAAACGTTCAACCTTTGGTTTCATCAGACCATAACACATTTCCCCACATGCTTTTGGGAGACTTCAGATGTGTTTTTGCAAATGTAGTCGGGCTTGGATGTTTTTCTTCGTAAGAAAAGGCTTCCGTCTTGCCACTCTACACCATAACCCAGACATATGAAGAATTCGGGAGATTGTTGTCACATGTACTACACAGCCAGTATTTGCCAGATATTCCTGCAGCTTCTTTAATGTTGCTGTATGCCTCTTGGCAGCCTCCCAGACCAGTTTTCCTCTCGTCTTTTCATCACTGCTGTGCCATATTTTCTCCACTTGATGATGACTGTCTTCACTGTGTTCCATGGTATATCTAATGCCTTGGATATTCTTTTGTACTCTTCTCCTGACTGATACCTTTTAACAATGAGATCCCTCTGATGCCTTGTAAGCTCTCTGCGGACCATGGCTTTTGCTGTAGGATGTGACTAAGAAAATGTCAGGAAAGGCCTACTAGAACAGCTGAACTTTATTTGGGGTTAATCAGAGGCACTTTAAATGATGGCAGGTGTGTACTGACTCCTATTTAACATGATTTTGAATGTGATGGCTTAATTCTGAACATGGCTACATCCACAGTTATAAGAGGGTGTGCACACATATGCGTGTCCCCCCCCTAAAAGATTTCAGTTTGTTTTTCAATTGAGTTGTACAGTTTATACATCACATTAAAGGTGGAAAAAGTTCTGAAATTATTTATCTTTGTGTCATTTTTTTACATCACAGAAACCTGGCATTATAACGGGTGTGTAGAATTTTTGTATCCACTGTATGCTTTTTTGCAGTATATTTGGATCTAATCGGTCATGGCACTAAATACATTCACCTAAAAATAGACCAGCTACTGTCATGTTTGCTGTATTGAGAGAAAAGACATTCGCGGAAAGCCGAATTTAGTGTTTCTAAATTATATAGCTTTGAGGTAATGTTGCAACTTTTAGAAAAGTATCATTCTGCAAGGTGAATTGGCCATATTGCTTGGTGCAGAGCAAAATGCACAGGCTTTATCAATGCCTGGAAGCACAATGAAGTCTATTAAGAAGTGGAAGGTATTTGGTACAACACAGACCCTCCCTGGATCAAGAAGCTTCAAACTGGATGAAAGAGCTAGGAGGAAACTGGTCAGAGAGTCTACCAAGAGGCTCTGAAGCAATTGCAGGAATTTGACAGAGTGGCCATTGTGTGCATGTGACAACAATATCACAAAAAAAAAACAAACCGGTGTTTCTCTGCAGCAGGGACTGGAGCACTTGTCAGGATGGATGGGGCAAAATACCATCAAATACTTAAAGAAACTCTGCTGCCCTCTGCCAAAAAGTTGTCAATGGGAAGAAGGTTTAGATTCCAACATGACAATGACCCAAAGCACACAGCAAAAATGACCACACAGTGGTTGAAGGAGAAAAAGGTGAATGTCCTTGCATGGCCTAGTCAGAGCCCAGACTTAAACCCCATTGAAAATCTGTGGAATGACTTGAAGACTGCAGTCCACAAACGGTCATAATCAAATTTAACTTAACTTGAGCAGTTTTGCAAAGAGTGGGCAAATATTGCAAAGTCTAGATGTGCAAAGTTAGTAGCGACTTATCCCAACAGACTAAAGGCTGGAATTAAAAAAAAGGTGGTTCAACAAAATACTGACACAAGGGGGTGTACCTTTTTCCAATTTGGGATTGTTTTTGAATTTTTTTTTTTTTTTTTCTGACAAGTTGGTGTTCTATCTTTTACTTGATTGCTGTAATTTGCACATACAGCTGGATAAAACAAAAACTGTAGGGAAGAAATATAAGTGAGCACTTCTAAGAAATAGCTTCTAGCACCAAAAAGGTGACACACTAACCTTCTAAAATCGAACAGGAAAAAGAATAGTGACGCACTATATAGCACTAGATTAAATTACGTTTATGAGTGAAAAATCATCAATACATGAGATACAAAAAATGAGCGCAAATAGAATATGTTCAAAAAATCACTTGCAGTTACTATTCTATATCAATGTTCAAATTCAACATCAATCCATATATCATAAATGTACCATCCTCCACCCTTATGCATTCACCAGAGGGCTAAAATACAGATGCATGTATTATAGACAGCGTTGTATAATCCAAGCACTAGCTCCAGCGTTCCAATTCCTGTTTTTTTTGTGTCAGGTATTGATGATTTTTCACTCATAAGGTAATTTTATAGATTAATCTAGTGTTGTTTAGCGCTGCACTATTTTTTTTTTTTTTTTTTTCAAAACAAAAACGGTCTTCATTTCTAGCTGCAAAGAAACACAATGTGATTATTTTAAAGTGGGTGGGACTATTTTCGATACCTATTGTAAATAATAGAGATAAGTGCAGGTGATATGCACCTCTTTGGAATTAACTCAATGTATGCCTGCACTTTTCACAAAAATTGCTGAATTTCTGGAATTAGAGTTTAGTAATCAAACTTGTAACTCCTGTTTGTGTTTGGTTTTTTTTTTTTTTTTTTATAGAAAAGATTAAAGGACTTCCTCAGATTACTGCAGTTTTTGTGAACGTTGAAAGACTATCTGCTTTGAGTGAGGTAAAGCTGCAATATATGAAATGCTTAGAATGATGTAATTTGCAATTTTTAAATAAATCCATACATGAATAACTATTGTTAAATCCTACAAATGTGTCTCAGAATGTTTCAGTAGCTGAGTTTTCACCCATTGAGAGAGATGAAGTTTAATACATTTTAGGTTATACTACTGCCTACAGGAGAATTGGAAACTGTAGGCCAGCCTAGGATATAACCCCGATTTACCAGCATGCCTCAGTTTTGTGCTAGTGTCCTAGTGGGATGGACTTGGCTTTTTAGCTTTTGTTCATGTCAAGGCTAGTCTTTGAAGTTTTTCTAGCTACTTTTTTTCTTCAATCGAGATCCACCTATATAAAATTGCTGCTGCTGGTTTTATTCACCGACTGGCAGCTATCTGGTGCAATGTTCCAGAGCCTGGCTTTTAGACTGTATCACAACTTGACACCACTGGACTGTACAAAGAGGGGTTGAGCCTGGAAAATACTCTCATGCCCTGGGCTCAGTGTAGGCACTTTATACAATGTATTGGTTAAGTTAGCTGTGGAGAGATTTCATGGCCTGGTGTCACTGGAATTTCCTCTGCCTTTTGAAGGCTCACTTGGTGAGTAGATCATTTAGGCCAGGCACTAGGAGCGCCCTCATTTTTCATATTACAGATCTTTATATAGCACCCACAATTTACGCAGTGATTTACATATATATTGTACATTCACATCAGTCCCTGCCCTCAAGGAGCTTACAATCTAAGGTCTAAATCATTAAAAGCACCTCCTACCTTCCTCGTACTCAGTTTTTCATTGTGTGTTTTTAAACTGGAAAGATCGTCAAGGTTTTTTTGTGTTTTTGTTTGTTTTTTTTCCTAAGCTGGTTGACTTTGGTCAGGTGGTCCCTCCAGGTATTCTGGATGAGGTTTTTATGGGGGGTTCCTCCCTTTTTTTTTTTTTTACATGGGATTTTCTTCTGTGGTTCAGGTCTGCCCCCCCAACCTGGGAGTATGACAAAATATTGTTGCTCAGCCTCTACCTGTCTGAGTGGGTTTTGTACACAAAACCTGGATGTCAAGTGGAAGCAGTTGTGCATTCCTGGTATTTTGGTCCCCTATGTAGTGAAAAAAAAAAAAAAAATAACCCTCCCTCCCCCAATAAAAAAAATTCTGAGGACACCCATATGTTACATATCCTCGCTCACGCTGGAGTGAGAGCAATAATTCAGGGTTAACTTTAATCTCATGACCCCATAACAGGGGCTATTAACGCTTTGCCTGTGGAAATTTAAGTACCAAAGTTTGTCACAGTCATTGGCGCATGCGATTTTAAGGCTTGACATGTTGGGTATCCATTTGCACAACCTCATCTTTGATATTTTATCTATAAAGCGAGTCCTATATTATTATACAGGATTTATATAGCGCCAACAGTTTGCTCAGCGCTTTACAATATAAAGGGAGACAATACAGTTCAATACAAGAGGGTTAGGAGGGCCCTGCTCCTCCGGAGCTTACAATCTAAGCATATTGCATTTGTGTGCCCTCAAAAACTTTAGTGTATTATTTACTGAAATTTTGAACTTGGTAAACCGTTGTATGAGCCCTAACAGGCACCCACCATTTTAGTCGGAGGAGTGTGCAGCTCAAAAAAAAAAAAAATTAAGCAAGCAGCATGTCAGAAGAGCGAAATTATTCCAAGACACCTCCCTGGGATACATATATACAGTGGGGATCAAAAGTTTGGGCACCCCAGCTAAAAATTTGTATTAACGTGCATAAAGAAGCCAAGGAAAGATGGAAAAATCTCCAAAAGGCATCAAATTACAGATTAGACATTCGTATAATATGTCAACAAAAGTTAGATTTTATTTCTATCATTTACACTTTCAAAATAACAGAAAACAAAAAAAATGGCGTCTGCAAAAGTTTGGGCACCCTGCAGAGTTAATATTTGTGCCTGGTAGGTGACTTCAATCCCTCTTCTTTTCTGAGTTTAACCGCTTCCCGTCTGCCCTATAGCAGAAGTACTACTACAGGGTGGCACAGGTGCTCAAAATCACGTGTATATATACACGAGATTTTGCATCTCCGGGTAGGGGGCGTGCGCGAGCCCTACCTGCACCGCCATTCGTGGCCTCAGCTGTCCATCACCGGGTCCCAGCCGGTGCCCGGTGATTGCCGAGCCTATCCGACGGGAGGGGGAACTGTTTGTAAACAAAACAGTTCTCTCCCGTTAGCTCCTGCACACTGCTTTGCATGGCCATGCAATGCAGTGTGCTTACAGTGAAGCACAAACACACAGCCCAGTATGTAAAACGGCACACAGTTAACCCTTTGATTGCACCACATGTTAACCCCTTCCTGCTCAGTGCCATAGTACAGTGTCAGTACTTTTTATTAACCCTGATCACTGTATTGATGTCACTGGGGATGTCAGTGACACCAAGTCAGTTCCCCCAGTGTCAGAATACCCGCCGCAGTCCCCCTATAAGTCACTGATCACTGCCATTACTAGTAAAAATAAAAATCCCAGTATATATATATCGCCATTTGTAAACGCTATAACTTTCATGTAAACCAATGAATTTACATGTATTGGGATTTTTTTTTTAGCAAAGACATGTAGCAGAATACATTTTGGCCTAAATTTTATGACGAAATTTGATTTTTTTTTTTTAAATTCTTTTACTGGACATGTTTAATAGCAAAAAGTCAAAAATATTTTTTTTTCTCAAAATTGTCAGTCTTTTTTTTTTTTTTTTTATAGCGCAAAAAATAAAACCCGCACAGATGATCAAATACCACCGAAAGAAAACTCAATTCGTGGGGAAAAAAAAAAGACATAAATTTCATTTGGGTGCAAAAAAAGTAACGCAAATAATGGTCTGGTCAGGAAGGGCGGGGGGGTAAATCCTCTGGAGGGCAAGTGGTTAAGAGCTGGTGGAAGTGTTTACTGAGGGCTAGCAGTGTCCCTTTAAGAAGTGACCCTGCTTCTCTATAGCCAGTGGCCGTGTATAGGATGGGAGTGCACTCTCATGAAAGAGGACGCTTGTGCATTCTCATTTAAGAGAAAATTAAGAAATAATTCACACCTGTAAGAGAAGGTCCAGTCCACATATACAGCTGTTCAGGGCTTTGAGTCAAGACTGGCCATGGGAGAAGGCAGCTGGATGCAGGGGCAACTGTCGGTGTAGCTAGAAGTACTCTGGGGTGTCAGCTCAACTCGGTCCACAATGCATTATGATTTAGAGGTCCAGGTGCAGAATGTAATTGGCTGATCAATGTGCAGAGAAAACTGTCCCAAGCAGGCTGGAGGCTCTTGTGGAGGAGAAAGCCAAGCGACCAATCGCATCCTCCCTGTTATGCAGATTGCTACTACTGGAAAGAACAAAGCCACAAGCTGAATACCTGCATGTACAAGGTCCAGTCCAGGAATTGGATGACAAGAAGGCAGTGGATCCTTGCTGGCTGTGCCGTAGAGTCTGCATGCAGAGAGAGCGGTCAGAGAAGGGCTAGAGGTGCTGGAAATGGGGAGGGTTTGCCTTCAGCAACCAGTGAGAATGAAAAGGAGAGGTTCAGGAGCTCTCTGAGGATATTACAAGGAGTCAAAAAAAACACAAACTATTTTATCAAAAGTAACTTACAGGGCCATTAAGTAGTGGATGTGTTTGGAATATTTTTGAAGAATATGGATGTTTAGTGTCATTTTAGAGCCTTAAAGAGTTCCAGCGTTAGATGGTGTGGCAGACTGACAGCTACAATATCCAGTCTGCGAAAGGCAGGTCTTATTTAAAGGTGCAGATCCCTAGGAAAACATTTTAGCCCAAGGAACTCCATAAGGCAGCAGTTCAAAACCTGGGGGTCGCTACCCCTTTGGGGGTCGAACAACCCTTTCACAGGGGTTGCCTAAGACCATCGGAAAACACATATTTCCAATGGTCTTAGGATCCGAAACACCGCTCCTCTATCAGTCTTCAGGCGGGTCCGCCCACATGCAGATACGCCCACATTTCCCTGGACCGCGATGTGTGGGTGGGATGACATGCCGCCCCTGTCATCTGGCCACACACCCGGGATCACTTAACAGCTCCGCCTTCTCACCGGTGATTGGCCGCTGGAACTGTAGCTCAGGAGAGGCACACAGGCGGCCAATGACCGGCGAGGAGGTGGAGCTTGGAGATGAGGAGCCGAGCGGCAGCGCAAAGATCGAGTGAGGGAGCGGTCGGAGAAGGAAGACAGCTGACTGGTAAGTGTCTGTACCGTGCAGATGGTGCTGCTGCAGCAAGGTATGCTGGCTGTAGATGGGAGAGGGAGGGAGCGAGCCCAGGCTGGAGCAGGGGTCAGCAAGGTAAGTATCATTGGTGTCAGTGGGAGGAATAGAGTCCCATCATTGGTGTCACAAATACCAATGATGGGGCACCATTCCTCCCACTGACACCAATGATGGGGCGCTATTCCTCCTCCCCACCCGACACCAGTGATGGGGCACTATTCCTCCCACTGATAATAATAATGGGACACTACTCCTCCCACTGACATCAGTGATGTAGCACTACTCCCACTGACACCAATGATGTGGCACTACTCCTCCCACTGCAAAATTACAGATATGAAGTAGCAACAAAAATAATTTTTGGTGGTTGGTTGGGGGTCACCACAACATGAGGAACTGTATTAAAGGGTCGCTGCATTAGGAAGGTTGAGAACCACTACCATAAGGGTATCTGGTCGGTTGTTTTCAAGTTATTTTCTTTTATGTCCCTTCATTTAGATGTTTTAGTAAGGAGAAATCAGAAATAACAGGTTATCTGGCCTACTCTGTCTGGCAACTATTGATGCCATACCTCCCTGTGTGAATGCCAGGGTGTCTGCTCTTCTGTTCGTAACAAAGACATACAACTGCTGTAAAGGACCTAAGAAGAGAGATTACCCAAACCATAAATAGATATTTCTTAGCACACCTAAATACTTTTAAAGTACAGGAGAACTTCTGGTCAGGAACTATAGTCCCCAAATAGAGATATTATCTGAAGATATCCTCTAACAAGTAACTAAAAGAGCTGCATAGAACTAGCACACTACACTGTGATGTTCATTTTTAATGAATATGTAAATGTTGCAAACAAAATTGCTTTCAGTATACTGCCATAAATAGCAAAACGATCTGAAGTTTTCCTGTACTATTTTTGGTGTGCTATGAAATATCTGTTTATTGTTTGTACATTGCTTACCACAGTGCTGATTCTAGACATGCTGCACTAGGTGTGTCTAGTAAGTCATGGACAGTTTGTAGTGCGCCCACTGATGGTTATGATATCTTTAAGCCATGGCTTCCTTCAGAAAGGCTGATTCACCTTTTATCATTTTGGATAGTCCCAGGAAGGGCACGCTGGCTACCTCTTCCACTATCTTTAGGTGGCTCAAGCAGACCATCGTTCAGGTTGTAAAGGTTTCCCCTTCTCAAGTTAAAGCTGTATTCAACCCAAAACCAAAAATGTATTACATTGCAGCTTACCAATCATTAGGTGTGGTGGGTGCATCAGTTTTCATTTTTTAGACTGTTTCTTTGTTTTCAACTGGTGATCTGGCCAATAACACTCCACTCTGGAGGAATAGACACAGCAGACAGCAGCATTGTCAGTTGTGGGGGGGGGGGGGGGGGATTTAAAAGTATTAGCAGATTTGAATACAATAACAAATTGTAGCCAAACTCCAGCTCACACTTTATACTCATACTATACTTATAAACTGCAATATATTCAATGTTTGCTTTTGGGTTTAATACTGCTTTAGAGTTCTCTTTACTAGGACAGTGATCGCCTCCTTGGGCTTTTCAGCATTAAGCCTCTGTTTCCCAGATTTGCTGCCACCTTGTCTTCTGTTCACACTTTTCTACCAGATGGACATTTCTCTATCATCTGATGCCAGCTTTGGATGTTGAATCCTTCAGGCTCCTCTACTGTTTATGTTGAGCCTGGTAGCAGTTGTTTGCTGTGTTGCCCACCCTTTAGTTGGACAATTTTCTGTCCTGAAGGGTTAGAATTTCCTGTGTACCTTGATCAATGAGAAAGAAAATAGGATTTTGCACACACTGTAAAATTCTTTTCTTTGAGTTCATTGAGGGACACAGTTCCTGCCTGCCTTTTATGTTTATACTCTTGGTACTGCTTTGCTACAAAACTGAGAAATGTTGGTAGTAGGATTATACCCCAACTTTTTTTTTCCCAGTGTCTAATCCCTCTGTAGGCTGTAGTATAACCTGAAGGTTTAAGACTTCCAATCAACTGCAAGAAAAGGATTTTATGGTGGATACAAAAATCCTGTTTAGAATTTAAAGTAAACCTGTTACAAGTCTCAATTATTTTACCTGCGCATAATATAATGGAAAAGGTCATAGGCAGTGGTTATCTTTTGTGAAGTCTGCATACCAGGTAATTGGAATATTCAGAAATTGAAGCAGTCCAGTAAACACCAAGCCTATCTCTTCTACCAAACTTCCCTTTTTGTTTGTTTAATGTAATGGGCAACCTCCTTACCAATCATCATTTGCCTAGTTTTGGCTGTCTGCCTACACGGGCAACTTAAAGGATGAGGTGATTTTGTGCACCTGATGTCTCTCCTCAGCTTATTTTTGTGCACATATCTTATCTACTAATGTAAACATGAATATAAACACTTGTAACAATGTAAAACAAACTTGGAAAATGTGTTAGATTCTTTTATGCAGGCCATAGATGGGTCGTTCATCTGCCGAATTTTTCGTCCGAATGAAAAATCGGCCGATATTTACACAGTGGGGCAATGCCGTTGGCCGGTTTTCGTGGATCTTCTCGTTTCTTTTTATCGGTCATGCTGAAAAATCCATGAAATATGGGCATTTTTCGTAAGCATTGGTGGCAGCATCCATGGCAGCAACAACCGATTTTCTGTTTATCGGCACACGATTTGGCCGATAAACGGCCCGTCTATGGCCAGCCTTAATGAACCTCAGTTGTTCTTTCATTTTACTGTATGTTCACTTGCAGAATGAACTGGAAGCAGCGTGGGGAGTGAAAGTTTTTGACAGATACACAGTGGTCCTTAAGATTTTCCAATACAATGCCCGCACAAAAGAAGCTAAGCTACAGATTGCACTGGCTGAACTTCCATTACTAAGGTAGAAGATCACAACTTTTGATTTACAACTGGTATTAAGACAGCCTATAAACGATTCATTTTTTTTTCATTCAACCTATGGGTTGAATCAAAAAAAATGAGCCAATTCCCCCATCCACACATTCAATATAAATGAGGGAATCCTCCCGCTGAACTATTGTATTCTGCTGGCAGGAAGCCTTCCCTGCCTAAAGAATACAATGATCAGTGTTGCTGGCTATAGCCAGTGGCACTGATCATTCCGGAAATCCCGACAGGCTGATTGTACACAAGTTGATTTGTAGATCAATTTGTGTACAACCAGCTTGTCCATTTGTGTATTGTAATTCATCCAGTCCCTGCTGAACCGTCTGAATTTCAATCTGGTCAAAGCACCAAGATAAAGATATAGTTTATTGGAAAACGGCCCCAGCATGTTCCTCAGAGACTGTCACTTTGCCCATTTAGGTCTCTTGAAAGCCTACCTCCCACCCACTTATACTCATCTTTGCTGCACTTGACTCCATCTGAGATCTGGCTCTTTAAGTCTATTACTGGTGCAGATAAAGCAAGCTTCCATTTAGTAAACAGCAGTGAATCGCCAGCATTCTTAAGGTAGACTGCTCTTCCCCGAGTGCCTGTTTATAAAGCAGTGTAGATCGCTTCTCCTAATGAGGATTGAAGCATTTCTGCAAACGCTGAGAATGGCTGCTATTACTGTAATCTCATGAGACATAGCAAAATTTCAGTAACTGCAAATCTAAAAGTGAAAGTAAAACACGAAGCACCTCACACTACACTATGTAAAATGTAATAAAATAACAAAGTTAAAATCCCCCTACCCAATAAACAAATACAGCCCATAGATGCAAAACATTATTTTAATTAATATGTAAACATCAGACATGTAGCTAAACTGTGCTATTAAGGTGAGTTTGTGAAAACACTCATGTCATGCACCATGGTGAGCACAGCAATAAGACACTAGTTAAACAGCATCAGCAAGGCCTTTTCCTAGGCAAACATTTCAAAGTAGAATGAAGTTTCAAGACAGGCAAAAGGCAAGTTTGAGCATCGTAGACACAGTAGTTGACTACAGAAACTTATTTCAGCAGATGAAAGATATGTTCTGTTTGTTTCCTTTCGACATTGGAAGATATCTAGCATCAGCACAGAACTGTCTGGAAACCAAAGGGACCAGGTACACCCATCTACTGTCCAGAGAAGTCTGGCCAGAAGTGGTCTTCATGGAACAATTGCAGCAAAAAAAGACATACCTCTGATGTGGAGACAAGGCCAAGGGAATCAACTATGTAGGAAAGCATAAGAACTGGGGTGCAGAAAAATGGCAGCAGGTGCTCTGGACTGATGAATCAAAATTTGAATTTATTGCCTCAGCAGGGTGCTTTTTTTTTTTTTTTTTTTTTTTTTTTTTTTTTTTTTTTTTTGCAGAAAGGTTGGAGAGTGTTACAATAATATTATTTATGTTCAGGGTGAACATGCTCTCATCTCTGAAAGGGGCACCTTCCTGGTACTGGGCAGTGAGCACAGGGCCCGCTAGAGGAGATCGGGCCCTCAGGCCACCCTCATGAAATCTGTTTCTGATTGTTTGATCAGAGACATATACACCAGTGGCCTGGTGGAGGTCATTTGTACGGCTCTGGCAGTGCTCATCCTGTTCCTCCTTGCACAAAGGAGCAGATACCGATCCTGCTGATGGGTTAACCACCGCCCGCCATATAGTCCAATGACGGGCGCAAGGTGGTTCTCTCGTTCTGGGAGGACGTCATATGACGTCCTCCCATTCTCACTGCGCGTGCGCAGCTCCGGGAGCGCGCGGCGATCAGCGGTGCGCTGTCCAATCACAGCTGATCACATGTAAACAGGGAAATGCCGGTTATGCTGTAGTTACATAACAGCATGTGGCAGTTTGCTTTGTGAAACACTCAATAGGCATCTTACTATAGGTAATTAGTGCAGTGCTGACCGTACACAGTAAACAGCCCCGCCAATAGTGGACTTACAGGAGTGCAAAACCACACAAATTTAAATATTAGTCCATACTAAGTCTGCAGGTGCTTGGAAAGAGGAAACGGACCAAAGAGTCCTCCACCATCCACCCAGTCACACAGTCTCTTACTAAAGGGTTGGTCAAAATGCGCAGTTATCAGGCCCAAACTATGTGAAGTAGACTCCCAAATATGACTTCTCAATCAATCCACTTTGTCTGCAGCACTTCTGATTTCAAGCTCTTAGATACCAAATCTCTCTCAAGGCAACAGACACCACAAAAGAGAAGAATGCCAGTTCATAGTGTAGTAAAACCGTTAACCAAAATGTATTCACAGTAATGCACTTTCATTCTTCATGGTAAAAGCATGTCAATACAATGTTTCCAACCGACAGGATGACCATGGTCTGTGCCGGTGCGCGATGACTTCACACAACTGACTGCACCCAAAAAGATGTAATGTCCCCGACAAGATCTTTTTGGGTGGAGTCATGGCATGTGACTTCATTGTTCACCAGCACAGACCGCAGTCATCTTTTTGGTTGGAAACATTGTATTGACATGCTATGGACTAACATTTTAAATGTGTGTGGTTTTGCACTCCTCTTAGTCCACTGTTGGTGGGGCTGTTTGCTTATAATTAATGTTTTTATGTACTGTTAGTGCTGCACTAATTACATATTATGATTATTCTGCCTATTGAATGTACTAGCTGCACTTTCTAACTATTTTTTGATACCTGAGCGCAAGTGTGTATGATATTTCTTACCATAGGTGCCTGTATGGACATAAGAGAGCTGCTGATGTCCAAACTGTGGTGGCACTGGAAGGGTTGATTCTCTCCCCTCCCATTTTATTGAGGTGCTTCCTAAACGGCCCATAGGAACTGTTATCAAGATTTAGGACCAAGAGATAGTGCCACATATATGCTGGTAGCAGAGCAATAAATGGTAATATACACAGATTAGCGATAAAGATTGCTACAGGTTAAAAACAATTCCTTCCACCTAAAAGACTAATGTTGTTCTTGTTATATAGGATTTTTATAGCACCAAAAGTTTAAGTGCTTTTATTATGGTATAATAATGGTTTAAACAAACAGACTATTTAAAAATACAGTATCTGCATGTTTGTTTTTTTTTGTTTTGTTTTTTTTTTCAATATATTCGAGGGGGAAGAGAACTTGACTAGTGTATACAATAGAGTATTTACCTTTCTTCCACCTCCTTGGAGTCTATCAATAATACAGTTCATGTGTATGAGATGGTGCATTTGAATTTTTGCACAGCTTAACAGGGTTTCTGTAATGCTGTGATATAATACAGCCATGTTGACATTCTTATTTTCTTTTTACAATGCCAGTGAGTTGAAAATTGCTTATTTGATTTTTTTTTTTAATTTTCTTTCCATTAAAGATCCAGAATAAGAAATGAAATGGCCCACTTGGACCAGCAAGGTGGAGGTTCAAGATATGTCATGGGGTCAGGTAAACCAGATTTTTTTCTTTTATAGGCAGTGGAATAAAGTGTGTGTGTGTGTGTGTGTGTGTGTGTGTGTGTGTGTGTCCCATAAATTAGCTTCTCTTATTTTCTCCCATTTGGTTGGTTATATAACATTGAAAACATTGTATTGTAGCTATTTACCTGCTTCTACGCTGCCCTACAGCAGAAATACTGCTACAGGGCAGCACCGGTGCACAAAATTGTGTGTGTGTGTGTGTGTGTATATATATATATATATATATATATATATATATATATTTCACATTTACGCGGGCTGGGGGGGGGGAGCGCGGTGGCGTGATTTAATCCCTGAGGGATCAGTCATTCGATTTAGCCCAATGATGGTTGGCCTAAGTTGGATGATCAATCCCTGTCCTATCAGAGATCTTCCTGTACCTGTGTTTACAGTTACAGGAAATTGACATCTTCTCTCTCTGGGCACATTCCGTCCCAGAGAGAGAAGAATCAACCCACAGTGAGTAGAACAGCACACTTTTACAGTTTAGATAGGACACATTTAATCCCTTGATCGCATTCCCCCCCCCCCCCTGGCCACTGTCACCAGTGTCATTAGCACATTGTACAGGTTTTTTGCTGATTACTGTGTTAGTGTCGCTGGCAACTTCAGATAGCATTAGCGCCCCTCCCAGAAAGCGTCAGATTGCCTGTCAGCACACCAGTAATCACAGTTAACCCCTTGATTGCCAGGAACACTCTCACATACAGAATAAACCTCCATTGCTAGTGTAGCGTCTGAACTGATCAATATCTTTTATCAGATCAGCACTATACTAGCGTTCACATTAGTATAGTGTCCCCAAAAATGCAGCGTTAGTGGGATCACCCCCAGCACCTGTGTTTAGCCCTTACACTTACCCCTCTTCCCCCCCTTCTTTCCCAGCAGCTGCAGTGTCAGTAGGTTAGTGTCACTTGATACATTGTACACAAAACCACAGTGTTTGCAGAATCATGCCTGATCTCTGTTAGCACTTGCCGATAAATTTTTTTTTTTTTTTTGTAGCGGTTCAAGCAATCCCTGACAGCCAGGTGCTCTTTTCCCCGCTAGTCACATTAGGTACCTAGAAATTTAGTGGCCAAAATGTCCAACGAAAGGTACCCTAGTGAAGAGGCCTACACTAGAGCAGGGCTTGAAAAAGCCGCTCGCCAAATGCGAGGAGCAATTCTTGTGTGGTAAGCGGCGAGCACAGATGATGGATGGAGCAGCTACACCTACGCTCCAAGCCTCATTGTGAAGCCGAGTTTCCGGTTTCCAACTACCAGTTTCCGGCCTCTTCGGCACCACTGGCAGCGCCGCTGAGGGGACAGGTGAAGGAGAGGTCCACTCTCCTCCGCTGAGAGGAGACACCCTCTCCACCGCCACGGGGGACTCGAGGAGAGGTCCTATCTCCCCCGCTGCGGGGGGGGGACACGAGGAGAGGCCCGCTCTCTACCGCCTTGGGGGATCACTGTAGAGAAACCACTGCACTGCCCTCACACAAAGCTCAGTGGCCTTAGTATACTGCAGTATACCTCTGAGCATAGGGCTACAAAATAAACTGTAAGACAGTTTATTTACTGTTCCAAAACACATTGATTTTCTTTGTATAATTTTCTGCTAAAATACAACTGGACTTTAGTGAATGAATAATAAAAATATAAAAGTATTATTCAAAAATTAGTTTAAGGAAAAACTGCAATAATAACTGAAAATATGTGCTCACTAACAAAAATCATATTGTCATATTAAAAAGTCTCTTTTTAAAGATGCAGGAGTTAAACAAAAAAAATACAAAATGTTCACTAGAGGTTTAAAGCTGTAAAACTTAATATTTTGATTGCACCCTATTGCTATTAAGCTATTGCTGTTATGTTTAAATTGACATAGTAAAGCTATGTTATAATTGCAGTTTTTTATATTTTGGACTCTATTCTAAAGAAAAATGTAATTTCATAAGCTTTAAGGGGGCATGGCTGGGGGCAGGGTTGGGGGATGGGGCGAGGGTGGGGTTGGAGGCGGACCTGGGCAAGGTTGCGTGGGGCAACTGGTGGAGAGTAAGGTTTGTGCCAGGCTAGTACGTCTAGACTCGAAATTTTAAGCCCTGCAATAGAGTACATCAGATGAGAGCAAAGGGGAAGACTTCCTGAAACAATCTACCTCAGAATACGAACCTGTAGACAGCAGCGGCACCCTGACAGATAGCTCAGACGATGGAGGAGAAGTCCCTGCTAAGATCAGGCGTACCTGACCCCATTACCAGGTTGCTGAGATGTTCCAAACGCATGATGACTCTCATATGCAGCAGATTGCCAGTACTAGTGCTGCTCTACCTTTTTGGTGAACTGGCAAGCACCAGCAGCCTAGTACATCCTGGTCATTCACATACCAGAACTGCAGTATCACTTGGTGATGTGGCGAGTCCTATAAGTGCAGTACAAGCTGGTGCGGTGGCAAACACAAGTAGTGTCCCATAGCCACCAAGAATTCTACACAGGTCTGTAGATCCCCTAGTATCCTTGCGGATGTGCTTGCAGCCCACAAATTCTGTAGCACCCGTACTTCCCCCATTCACTGCCCAACCTAGAATTCGATTGGAAACAGCAAATTTAAATAAAATAGTAAAAAATGCAGCGCAACAATGAAATGAATATAATGGTGCTTATTGTATAAACTGCAACCTCCTAAATGCTTATTTAAATAGTGACAATCAATAACATTTTTCCTTGCTTGTGATGATCAATATATGCTACTCATCATCTATTTTGATAAGTACATGTAGACCCCCATAAATTCTATAATATCAACTGTGCTTTGTGATATAAATACACCATAAATTGTGCAACTTAATAAATGTCAATTGTAGCGAACTGTCCCTTTAAATCCACAATAACTCCACGTGGACCAGTGTTGTCATATTTACTGTATATCGTGATATAAATACAACATGAATCGTGCAACTTAATACAATATCAATTATAGTGAACTGTCCCTTTAAATCTGCAGTAACTTCACGTGGACTAGTGTTGCCACACTACTGTATACAAGTGTACGGTGCTCCTTAGTGCTCTTCCACCTCCTCACTTATGCACTCACCTCAAAGTTTGACCCATAGGGGTTTATTTACTTAAGCTGGAGAGTCCAAAATCAGACTCCCTTCTGCATAGAAACCAATCAGCTTCTAACCTCAGCTTGTTCAATGAAGCTTTGGCAATGAAACCTGGAAGCTGATTGGTTTCTATGCAGAAGTGAGTCTGATTTTGCACTCTCCAGCTTTAGTAAATAAACCCCATAATGACAGGTCAAACTGAACTTTTTCTCTTTTAACCCGGGTAGGTATAATGGTACACAGATCTTTCCACTCTATGCCAGCACCTTTATGTAGATCCAATCCACTGCACATTTATGTATTTCAAAATGGCGGCACGTGACCTTACAGTATACGGCTTGACGTCATCATCGTACCCTACACGTTACGTCACATCACGTGACTTTATCATGTAGGGTACACTGATGGCGTCAAGACATAAACCTGAAGGCCACGTGCCGCCATTTTGAAAGAGGGATTATTTATTTATTACAGGTACTCCTATAGCGCCGTCAATTTACGCAGCGCTTTACATATATATTGTACATTCACAAGTCCCTTACCCTCAAGGGGCGTACAATCTAAGGTCCCTAACTCACATTCATAGATACACATACTAGGGCCAATTTAGACAGGATCCAATTCACCTACCAGCATGTCTTTGGAGTGTGGGAGGAAACCGGAGTACCCGGAGGAACCCAACGCAGACACAGCAAGAACATGCAAACTCCAGGCAGGTGGTGCCGTGGTTGGGATTCGAACCAATGACCCTAGTACTGCCAGGCGGAAGTGCTAACCACTTAGCCACTGTGCTGCCCAGGATTACAGCATATATTCAACTTGGAGCACTGTATAGGGAGTTTGTAACCCTGTGGTGTCCCAGCAGGACACATTTTATTGCGAGTGGTTATATATTTTATATAAAGGCTATTTTTGGTATACATTCTACACTATATTCAGCGTTTTTTTTTTTTTACATGAATGCGGACTGGATCTTGGTGAGATTAGATAATGTAAGGGCAGAGGAGATATCTGGAGTCTGATAGACCCCAGATTCTAAAAAAAAGAATATATGACCATGCCCATTGAAGGTTTAGGGGATATTTGTATTCCCTGTGATAGCGTTAAAAGTGATTAGAAAAAAAAATGAAAGGGACAGTGTAAAAATAATTTTAAAAAATCAATAACTTAAAAAAAAAAACAAAAAAACTGCCCACGCCCCCACCCCCTGTGCACACGCGTGCGTGAACGTTGACCCCATACTCAGGAGAAGTAGCAGAATGTATTTTGTGGAGTAATTCCACATATACCCATAGCATAGGTGAACAATAAATCATTTAAGTGACAATTTTGTGTTAAATTTTTTTTTTTGTCATTTTCCAAAAACTTATTCCAAAAATAAATTCTTCTATTGACTCAACATGCCTCTCAACAGCTGCAGGCATCATCCTGGATAACCAGTGATGTTCCAGTATGTCGCTGGTCCTTGTTGGGTGTATATGCTAATATATATGCTATACTTTTAATGTGACAAAAAATATTATAAAATATATATGCTGAAGCATAGGTGCCATCCACCCACTGGCCACCCCATGCCCCAGTGCTTCGGCATATGTGCTCTTTTTTTTTTTTTTTAACTGTGGATGAAAAATCTCATTCAACAGCGTTGCCGACACCTACTTTTGTATATTCTGAGAGCAAGACCCTGTTGCTGTCACAATAAACAAGTCGGTGCTCCAGCAGAATGACTTCCTCATTTCTCAAGCAGGCTTTTTCCCCCTTTCTAAGACTGGTATTTACAAGCCGTTGGGGGAAGCTGCAGCGATTAGGTTGCACGCTGCCACGTACATCAGTTTCAAGATTCTACAAATGTCTAAATAGTGGCACACTTGAATAAAAATTGTCCACGTATAAGTGGTACCCCATATGGCAAAAGGATGAGGCCAAGTCCCAAACTATCTTGCCACTGCTCCCCATGTAGTCTGGACATCAGGGGGGCTCCACGTAAATCCCTCGTAAATCCGAAACTAATATGTATAGCCTGTTGCCCTCTCACAGGTCTTTTACATCTTGACCCCATATCTGGCACGCTTGCAGGGGAGAAATTGTTTGAGTGGAAGGTGGGCAGAAAAATTAATTAGGGACTCATCAACACAGATGTTTTGCTGGGGAGTATAGACATCTGCAAATTTTTGGTTAAGGTGATTTACGAAGGGCCGAATTTTGTGGAGCCGGTCAAATTCAGGGTCACCCCGAGGACGACAGTGTGTGTTGTCATTGAAATGCATAAAACACATTGTACTCTCATATCTATGCCTGGCCATGACAGCAGAGAACATGGGCATACGATGAATGGGGTCTGTGGACCAATACAAATGCAATTCATTTCTTTTCGTAATGCCCATGTTGAGGGTTAGGCCCCAAAAAACTTTAATTCATAAACCCGTAATGGGTTTCCATGCGAATGGTCTGGCAAGGTTTGAAGTTGGGTTGGTGGCGATAAACTGTTGTGCATATAAATTGCTTTGATCCACAATCAATGCATACAGATCTTCTTCCATGGAAAACAACTCCAAAAAATCAAGGGGAGTATTTAAATTTACTGTTTCCACCTGAATTTCGGGTTGGGCAGTGAATGGGGGAAGTACGGGTGCTGCAAAATTTGTGTGCTACCAATCGGGATTTGCGAGCACATCCAGAAGGATACTAGGGGCTCTACGGGCCTGTGTGAGAATTCTTGGTGGCTGCGGGATACTACTTGTGCTCGCCACCACACCAGCTTGTACTGCACTTATGGGACTCGCCACGGAGCACCTGGCTGTCAGGGACTGCTTGAACCGCTTCAAAAAAATTTACCAGCAAGTGCTAACAGAGATCTGGCCTGATTCTGCAAACACTGCGGTTTTGTGTGCAATGTATCAAGTGACAGTGACCTACTGGGGGAGAAGGGGGAGGGGGGTTAAGTGTAAGGGCTAAATGCAGGTGCCAGGGCTGATCCCGCTAATGCTGTGTTTTTGGGGACACTATACTAATGTCAACGCTGATATAGTTCTGATCTGATCAAACATATTGATCCGTTCAGACACTACACTAGCAATGGTGGTGTATTGTGTATGTGAGTGTGTTCCTGGCAATCAAGGGGTTAAATGTGATTACTGGTGTACTGACGGGCTATCTGGGAGGGGCGTGAAAACCATGGGAGCGCGAATCACGTGTGTGTGTGTGTGTGTATGTATATATATATGTATGTGTGTGTATAAGGAACACCTAAGAGAGCCCATTTTTCACAGTCGAGTAAAGCTATGCATTTTTCTTTCTCCTCTGTTGAGGGTTGCAGAAAGTTTTTAACCTTTTGGGTTATATTAATGCCTACAGAACAGATTTTGCCCGAGGCCTTACAGATTTCTGATTCATTGGCCATAGAGTTTGAGTTGCCTCAGTCCTTGACTTGGGAGCTTGCCCCTAAGGAGTTGCAATCTACTGCTATTTCTCCCTAGTTAAAGGAGCACATTTTGGCTCTTATTGTAGTGCAAACTTTAAAACTCCTAAGGCTGCAAAGACTTTCCCTTTGCACCCGCTTTTGAACTTCTTTTGCCTTTTGGGTTCAACAACAAACCTGGACAGTTCTGTCTCCAGGTGCAGGGATCCTCTAGTGCAGTGATGGCGAACCTTTTTGAGCCCGAGTGCCCAAACTGCAACCCAAAACCAACTTATTTCTTTCAAAGTGCCAACACTGCAATGAAACCTGAATATCGAGCTTTTGGTTTAGAAAAAACAACTCGTACAGTAGTGCAAACTAATTAACAGTACAGGGATGACCAGAGACTGCGGACACAGTACAGGGATGACCAGAGACTGCGGACACAGTACAGGGATGACCAGAGACTGCGGACACAGTACAGGGATGACCAGAGACTGCGGACACAGTACAGGGATGACCAGAGACTGCGGACACAGTACAGGGATGACCAGAGACTGCGGACAGTACAGGGATGACCAGAGACTGCGGACACAGTACAGGGATGACCAGAGACTGCGGACACAGTACAGGGATGACCAGAGACTGCGGACACAGTACAGGGATGACCAGAGACTGCGGACACAGTACAGGGATGACCAGAGACTGCGGACACAGTACAGGGATGACCAGAGACTGCGGACACAGTACAGGGATGACCAGAGACTGCGGACACAGTACAGGGATGACCAGAGACTGCGGACACAGTACAGGGATGACCAGAGACTGCGGACACAGTACAGGGATTACCAGAGACTGCGGACACAGTACAGGGATGACCAGAGACTGCGGACACAGTACAGGGATGACCAGAGACTGCGGACACAGTACAGGGATGACCAGAGACTGCGGACACAGTACAGGGATGACCAGAGACTGCGGACACAGTACAGGGATGACCAGAGACTGCGGACACAGTACAGGGATGACCAGAGACTGCGGACACAGTACAGGGATGACCAGAGACTGCGGACACAGTACAGGGATGACCAGAGACTGCGGACACAGTACAGGGATGACCAGAGACTGCGGACACAGTACAGGGGATGACCAGAGACTGCGGACACAGTACAGGGATGACCAGAGACTGCGGACACAGTACAGGGATGACCAGAGACTGCGGACACAGTACAGGAGATGACTTGACTGCGGACACAGTACAGGAGATGACCAGAGACTGCGGACACAGTACAGGGATGACCAGAGACTGGGACAGCACAGGAGATGACCAGAGACTGCGGACAGCACAGGAGATGACCAGAGACTGCGGACAGCACAGGAGATGACCAGAGACTGCGGACAGCACAGGAGATGACCAGAGACTGCGGACAGCACAGGAGATGACCAGAGACTGCGGACAGCACAGGAGATGACCAGAGACTTTTGACAGCACAGGAGATGACCAGAGACTGCGGACAGCACAGGAGATGACCAGAGACTGCGGACAGCACAGGAGATGACCAGAGACTGCGGACAGCACAGGAGATGACCAGAGACTGCGGACAGCACAGGAGATGACCAGAGACTGCGGACAGCACAGGAGATGACCAAGACTGCGGACAGCACAGGAGATGACCAGAGACTGCGGACAGCAGGAGATGACTGCTGACCTTTGGGGAGGGAGGGGGAGCGGGTACCTGAATTTGACAGGTACCCGCTCTTACTTCCGCAGAGTTTTTTTTTTATCTTACCTGTTCCTTTATCCAGCCGCGCGCTGTCTTCCCGGCTTCTGTAGTGTGGGCGCTCGTCGGACAGCCGGATGCCCAGTGCGCATGCGCGAGAAGCGCTGCGCTTTGTGATTGGTCCGGCGGCTTCTGGGATCTGTCATGTGTCCCAGGTACCGCCTTACCATTCACAAAGAGCACTGCTTCTTGTGCATGCGCACTTGGGACCCGGCTGTCACGCACACTACAGCCGGGAAGACAGCGCGCCGCTGGATTCTCCTGGCGTGCCCACAGATAAGGCTCGGCGTGCCGGCTGTGGCACGCGTGCCACGGGTTCGCCATCACTGCTCTAGTGCATAAGTATCCAAACGTTTCAGTATGAGAGACACATTGTTTATTTTACAAATGTTTGCAGGGGGTTAGTTAGCCTCAAGAGAGACCAATGCAGTGAGATTGAGGACTTGCTGCGGGCCAGAAAAAAATGACGTAGCACAGGTAGTGGAAGCAGTGGATGCCCTATTGGGATTAAGGTGGTTTTAAAAACGAAAGGTTTTTACCTTAATGCATTCTCTGTATTAACGTAAAAAAAAAAACATTCTGCTCTATTTATTGCTCTAATCATTAAGCAAGAGTACAGTTCAAACCCCCTTTCCCCCTAGAATCATGGTAACATTTAAGTGGCTACAGGGAGAATGTCTGTCTGGTTTTCTAGTTCCCTTTCCCAGCCTAGTGATTGGACAGTAATGGAGCAGTAGCACATGATGAGGTCATCTATCCTGCTAGCAGGTTCACAGATTGACAGCACTGTGCAAAGTAGTAAAGCTCCAATTAACTTTGCATACTGATTAACCTTCTTCCAGTCTGAATCCTGCTGCACAAGGAATACCAGGAAGTATAGATAGATTTGCTTGTGTATTAGCTATATTTAAAATAATCTTTTATTTGAGAAACAATTGAGTAAAGTTTTTGTTTTGTTTTTTTACCCCAGATGTATATAAATGTAATTCTCTTTAAGGTGAAACATTAATGGAGATCCAGCAAAGATTGCTGAAGGAGAGGGAGCTAAAGCTTAGGAGAGCTTTGCAGATACTAAGGATGAAGAGAAAACTATTTAGGACACAGCGCAAACGGCGGGAGATTCCAATAATCTCTGTAATGGGTTATACCAACTGTGGTGTGTATATCACTTGTTTACCATGTATATTACAATATTATAAGGGAAATGATACATTGTAGTTGTGGTCTTGTTGTATTTGCAGGAAAAACAACCCTGATAAAGGCACTCACTGGCGATGCAAGCCTTCAGCCACGTAACCAACTTTTTGCCACACTTGATGTCACAGCCCATGGTGGATTGCTTCCTTGTCGTATGCCAGTTATATATGTTGATACCATTGGCTTTCTCTCTCAGCTTCCTCACAATTTGATAGAGTCTTTTTCTGCCACACTAGAGGATGTCATCCATTCGGTAAGCACTTTGATATGAGAACAGCTCTATAATGTTTGGAAATGATAGATGGGTGTATCCTCAGACATACAGCCCATAACATTCTATATTAAGAGTTCTACTATAGAGTCAATCAGAGAATGGAGAGAGGAAAATGGCTATCCCTGCTCAGATATTTAACATGAGCCCAGGGAATACGATCCTGCAGCAAAGCAACCCGATGCTTAGCGTCAGTGACAAGCTCTACCTCCTGGTGTCGTCACATTCAGGAGTGTGGTTGGGGGATAAGAGCTGTCTCATATTGCCATTGCTACAGCACTGGAATAAGATCTATGCTGTGGAGACTTGGTGGCACCATGGGGACAGAATGCCACAGCAAGTAACACTGTCTCCCTGCACATAAGCAATGGTGGTGTGGCGTGGGCGGTGGCATCCAGTTTCTAGATAAAACAATAGATAGGAATGCAGCCTATTTTTAATCATTTTAGTTATTGCAAAAAGCTGTCAGGCAACATTATATTCTTGATTCGGTTTTGGTAAAAGTGTTTTTTGAAATATTGAACTTATTGTAGTAAATTCATCATGGTAGAATGATAGTAGTTTATCTCTGGTACAGCTGTTCAGCAACTAACTCATGTATGGTTTACATACCAGGATTTATTCATTCATGTGAGAGATATAAGTCATCCTGAAGTTATCAATCAGAAGAAAACTGTGCTGAATGTTCTCTCCAACTTGAATGTTCCCCAGAAGCTTCTCGATACCATGATTGAGGTGCACAATAAAATTGACTTGGTTGACAAGTAAGTGAAATTGATTTTGTGTAACTCCATTTGAACCACTTCAGCCCTGGAAGATTTACCCCCCTTCCTGACCAGGCCATTTTTTGCAATACGGTGCTGCATTATTTTAACTGATAATTACACGGTCATGCAACACTGTACTCAAATTTATGTCTGTTTTTTTTCCCACAAATAGAGCTTTTTTGTGGTGGGTATTTGGTCACCTCTGTGGTTTTTTACTTTTTGTGTTATAAACAAAAAGACTGACCAAAAAAAAAAATAATTTTTGTAATTTCTACTATAAAACATGTCCAATAAAAAAAATTGTAAAAAATCAAATTTCTTCATAAATTTAGGCCAAAATGTATTTACATATTTTTGGTAAACAAAAACACATTTTTTTATACTAGTAATGGCGGCGATCAGCGACTTATAGCAGGACTGCAATATTGTGGCGGACATTTTTACACTAGCTTACACTTTGTGGGAACCAGTGACACTAATACAGTGATCAGTGCTAAAAACACTGATCACTGTACTAATGACACTGGCTGGGAAGGGGTTAACATCCAGGGTGATCAAAGGGTTAAGTGTGTGCCTAGCTATGTGCTTGGTGTGCACTCGGTGGTGCTGGTACAAGGGGAAGTGATGGATCGTGTTTCCAGCTTTGCAAGAACACATGATCGATCACTCTCCATGTCACAACAGAGCTCTGTCTATGTAAACATTAGCAGAGGCTCTGTCGTTTCTCCCTGCCCAACGATCGGTGGGTACTGCCTAACATCCGTTTGCCTGGACGCGCAGATCGGCTTCTGCTATGACAGTTCACAGCAGAAGCGATCCGCCTGCGGCATGCACACCCCCATGAGGATAGATATATATATATATATATATATATATATATATATATATATATATATATATATATATATATATATATATATATATAATATGATATGATATGATTTTGCACAGGAGGACCACCCTGTAGTCTCTACACTGCAATAGGGTGGTTCATAAGTGGTTAATAGCTCTTTATTTTCCAGTCTGTCTTGGTTTTATTTTCATGCAAGAAATAAATACAAAGATTCAGCAAGAGATGGTTTCTGTGTGGTTACATGTCTGAAAGCACAATTCAGAGATAAATGTTTCAGCATGGGATGGATTTAGGAATTTATTTTTATCTATTGATGGACATGTGTATTTGCTAATGAAAATGTACAGGTATCCATTATTGCTCAGAGAAACAGATCAAAGGTTCATTTACGAGAACACTTTTTAGATTTCCTGTAGTTAATGTGTGAAGGAAGGCCAGATTAAAGGCTAAATTCACCTTTAGGGAAAAATAATTTCACATATTTTTGCATTAAAAAAAATGTGCATTTATTATTTTGCAAAGCATTGCACCTGTGGTCAGTGGATCACGGATGCAATGTCAGGCTTCTGCAGCCATGCCCTCCAGCTTTCTTGCCCATACCTCTGTATGGGCTTTCTGTTAGAAAGCTGGAGGAAGGAAGTGTCAATGCGCTACTAGGGCACTAATCAGCAATCCACTCAAAACTGAGAATCCCTCATAGTCCTTTTAAGGACTAGTTCAGCCAAAGAGGATCTGCCTCTTTTTAAATGTTTGACTAATCCTTTAGCTACAGTTTCCTCATGCACATTGTTGAAAATTGTTGTTTTCATAATTCCAAACACATGGCACTGGCTGCAGTGTCTAAACTAGGGGTCTCCAAACTGCAGCCTGAGGGCCAGATGTGGCCCTTTGCTAGCCTTTATCCGGTCCTTGGGGCACTGACACCAATAATGGGACACTATTTCTTCCACTGATAACACTTATGGGGTACTATTCCTCCCATTGATACCAATGATGGGGCACTACTCTTCCTCCTCCTGACCACTGCAGAAACAAGTCACACTTAATTTAACCTCCTTGGCGGTGTTCCCGAGTGTAGCTCGGGGTAGAATTTCTATACAAGAACGGTAACCCCGAGCTACACTCGGGCTTACCATGCAGCGTTCTCTGGGGGTCCCTGCAGCACTTACCTTGTCCTTCGCTCCCACGATGGGTCCCCTGCAGCGTCCCCGTCCATCTCCTCCGCGGATGCCGGCATCTGGCTTCCGTGTTCCGGTCCCCGTGACGTCGGAACGTTCGGGCGGCGGAACCGGCGGGAAATTTGAAATTTTTAAAAAATGAATTTTTGCTGTCATTGCTGTTTCACTGCATTTCACATACATTTTGTCCCTACTGCTTTGTCCTGTGCCCTGCCTGCATTTTGAATGTTCTTTCTGCCTGGAAACTTAGAAAAGTCCATGGTGTCCAAAAAGCGTCCCTTTACGTCAAAAGCGGTTTTAGAACAGCGATAGTAAATCAGAACCACTTGCAGAATTGAGTGATAATGATTCGTGGGGAAATTCGTCATCAGACACTGAAAACGATTTTGCGACTTTGCTCAGCGATGTGCGAATTTGCCTCTGTATTTCAAATTTCAGTGTTTTTGGTTTGATTATATTATTGAATTAAATTTATTATTATATTATTATTTTTTATGATTATTTATTAAATTATAATTTATGATTTCGTGTTTCAAGTTTTATCATATCCGGAATGTTTAATAGACTCTTTTTCGGATAGATTTCAGTGAGTTATTCCTAAAAATTACAGCCTACAATTAAAAACTACATATTTCCATGCAAAAAAATGGTACCTCTTTTTCAGCACAAAATTCCTGACATGATCATACCGCCAGGGAGGTTAAAACAGGCAAGATCAAGAGTCCACTTGTCAAAAGTGCACACTTTTCATTGCAGTCTTGCCAGTTTATACCACCGGGTTATTGTGATTCAAATGTGAGTAGTTCTGGAAAAGTGTGGAGAGAGATTCTCTTCCTTCTGATAACATTATATGAAACATATGATAACCTAGTAATACAAGATCCATACTGAACATGGAGTTCCCAGAGTCATGGTGCTCTCTCCTTAACCTATGTTGTTCCATCTGAGCAGAATGTAGCTTTTTGTAGCCACGTTAACTACTAATATATAGTAGTAGAGAGGCTGGCCATGTGTTGGAGACTTAGTATAACAACTTTTTTTTTTTTTTAATAAAAGAGGTTGTATGATATTGCACAAAAAAGTCACTTACCACCTCCTTTTGGCAGTCCCCGCCTGCACTGTTGGCTTTTCTCTATTTCGGGTGCCTCCTTTAATAAACTGGGTGTTAAGGAGGTACCTGTGAGTGGACACTTCCAAGCTGGGCTGTGTCCACCTATGGACACACAACATTGGTAAGCAATGTCCTGCTTCCTCATAGGAGTTTGACAGGAGCAGGAGCAGCCTATGTTTCTGCTGCCTTCAGTTTCTCCTATGAAAGCAGGAGGTGAGGGGAGTGGTGATGGAGCCAGAAACTGTGATGTGGCAGTGACATGGAGTCAGTTAAGTGTTTAAGGAAAGGGGTGGGGGGAGAGAAGAACAGATTTTTTTTTTTTTTTTTGGGGGGGGGGGGGTTGGGTTTTTTTTTTTTTTTTTTTTTTTTTGTTTTTGTGTGTTTTGTTTGTTTTTTTTTTTTTTTCGTTCGTGCATTAAGGTCAAAAAAACATTTAGACTTCAGAACCACTTTAAGCTTGCTTTAACTCATTGATTGCCTTGATACAAACTCATACATCATTTGCTACCTATGAGAGGAACAGCCAGGATGTATAGGATAACTCCTGGGAAATTAAAGGATTAAGAAGATCATAATTAGGTGGCAGGAATTGTCACAAGACAAACCACGTGTGATTAAAGCAGAGCTCCACTCAAATGTGGAAGCTCCACCTTTCTGTCTCATTCCAACCCCCCCCCCCCCCCCCCCTCCTGCTCTGCTGCCACAATTGGCACCTTTTTGGGAGGAGCAGGTACCTGGTTTTGACCTGACTGCACCCCAACACCCCCCGCAGTCTTCTGGAACATGTCCAAGGTTCCAGAGGAATGCAGTCCTTCATAAAGCACAGCGCGCTAAGCCCAGTAGGAAACCAGCGGTGAAGCCAAAATGCGTCAGTGCCAGTTCCTCTTAGTCAAGATGGCGGCACCAGCACCCGACAGCTGAAGAATCTGCTCAGGATGAGGACACTGCTGGCACCCTGGACAGGTAAGTGCCCTAATATTAGAAGTCAGCAGCTACAATATATGTTGCTGCTAGTTTTTAATTTAGGGGGGGCGCGGGGGCCAAAACTCCACTTTAAGCTCTGACAGAAGCAACCATTCCCAGTCTCATGTGTTGCAAGCTAGATCTGGAACAGTGAAGCCAAAGAGTGTCAGCTAAATGAGTGATTGGCTGCTTCATGAGAAGTTATTCACATATTATTTTTGCTTAGACTATAGATTCTGTATCATTTTTATTTTTGTTGAAGGAATTGTTTTAACCATTCTACACATGAAACTAAAGATGCAGCTGTTTCTGTGTCTGCACTTCATGGATCTGGCTTGGAAGACCTCAAACAATGTATAGAGACGGGCTTGATGGAAACCACAGGGAGGATAATTACCACAATCAGAATAAACCTGGAAAGTGTTGAATTAAGGTATGTGAGGTTATGCAGGCCCACTAAATTTGTCAATCTGTTCCAGTGTATGACATCTTCAGATCAACATCTAGAATCATTTAACATAAAAAAAAATACATTGTTGAAAACGGGTAAATACACTGCGTAAATACATGTGTGTGAACTTCAAATACAAAATAGAGACTAGTGAAACCACCTATTAAAAAGAAACAATTACTGTATATAGCAAACACTCTTCCTATATTAAGTGTGGATGTTGACAGATCTGAATCAGATGTCCCCCAACTTGGAGTACCCTCATCACCACAGAGTCTCCCATCAAAGTCCTTATTACATCAGAGCCCCTCAGCCACATAGTCCCCTCTTTGCCCTATCTTTAGGCTTCAGCAGTGAGGCAGGGGGTAGGAGCTGGTATGGAGGAGTTAGACTTCAGTCCTCTTCTGAATGCTGGGGGTGGCCCTGCATGGCGCCTGCCCTGGATCAGTTGCATGCGTTACCATGTTGTAGAGGGGCTGATTGCTAACCCCATAGCGATGAATGACTGTGTGTCCTGTCCTAACACGTCCTTGGTTAATATGGTGCTGGTGGCCTTCCTGTCCGCACCATGATAACTGATGATGCTGATCCATGTGTTTGACATCGTTCCCCGCACTAAGCTAATATGTAAGTTGAGGTCTACTGGCTTAGAAAATGTAGCTTGTAAATGGATAGAAAACTGGCTAAAAGACCATACTTAGAGCATTCAAATAATGATTATTAACAGCTACTCTCTAAAGCTTCTAATAGTGTACTCCAAAGTTCAGTGTTGGGACCTTTTACTTTGTAGCCTGTTTATAAATGATACAGAGTTTTGGATTAAAGGTACAATTTCAGTATCTGCAGATGATACCAAGTCATTACATGATGTCTCCATGCTGACCTGAATGCACTGATTGGGCACCTATGTGGCAAAACAGGTTTAATATTGATAAATGTAAATTGTAAATTGATAAATTGTGCATACATCCTATATTCAAGGACTAGTACAAATGCGGATTTCAATTTATTGAGAAGGATTTAGGCTTTCTAGTAGCATGTAGTGCAATACCTTTAAAACGGGTATAGACTTTGAGAGAGAGATATAATCTGACCTTTTACAAATCATTAGTAAGACAGTTTTGGACACCAATTCTTGTTGTGAAACTAGGGTTGCAGCCAAGAAAGTGTGTAATTGATAGAATAATTCAAGGACGCTAATATCTTACAGCTCATCTTATGTATTTTTCATAACATAAAGAGAGTTGTAAGTAGTGAGTGCCCTTGAAGTATTTCTATGAATTACATCATATACAATATGTGTGAACTGTTTCAAGTGTGCACAGAGACCTTACACTATGGATTACATGGTAAGAAAATTCTTGGGATCTACTTGGGCAAACCTGTTTTACACTAACATGTGCCTCCCTCCAAAGGAGTGCCTCCCTCCAAACATTGTTTTAGTCCATGTTAATTGACACTAACTAGGGGCATATAAGACACTGGCTGGAATAGGTTTGCGGAATTAAAGTGGAGCTCCAGTCAAAGATTAAAAAAAAATAAAATTCAACATCTGCAAAAACAGCCAGTCACCTGTCCCATGATCTAGCAGTGTACTCCCTGCAGCCGGTTTGACTGGCCATCCTTGCTCCCCGGTGGAGCTCCACCCAAAACATGAAATTCTGCTTTATTTTCCCTTGAGAAGGGGCTTTTAAGGGGGGATATATGATCACCTTGTATAATTACATACACATAGTGAACTTTAAGATCATTGTAAAGAGCAATGTAATAAGAGAGGTTTAACCTCCATTTATTTTTATGGCCATACACTGATCTGTACTCAACAGAACGTAATTGAGTTCTCTCAAAAGGGATGGTTTCATGAAGATGCCATTTTTTTTTGTATAATGTGCACCGTGTCCCGAATATAAACATCTATACCAGTAAGAGAAAAGAAACATTTTTTTGATGCGCAGACTTTGAGGAATAATATCAATGACATCAGTACTATTAAAGTTACATTTTTATTGAATACAAAATATTAAAAAGATAAAAACATAAAATATTGATTTGCTAATCCTCTGAATTGGGCCTCAAGCCCTAACCGACAAGTACCCCTATATACCACTGTATTGTCTCCATAAATTAAACATATCAAATGCAATTGTTCACAATGAAGAGCAATGTCTGTAGGAAATAGAAGGGATTTCACTGGTCCAAATGTGTTTTGCGATGCGTCTCTTCTTCAAGAGACCTTCTGTCAAAAGGGACATGTTGGGGAATTTTTTAATCCGCTTTAGCCACTGATGAGAGTATTCATGAAAGCAGCGGCGCAGCTGTTCAAATACCGGTGGTGAGTGAATTTCTCATATGATTTGTGCGGATGGAGAAATCTATTCTGTTTTTTTTTTTTTCTGCCCACTATCTATGGACAGCATAAGACCTGTAAAAATGTTGAATAAACTACCTCAGAAGTTGCAAAGAAAGGGATTATTGCACCTTGTTTGCAACTCTTACTTTGTACATTGGAACTGGCCCCAGATCTTAAGATAAATAGACAGCATTCTTTATTGGTCTTCTTCCATAATCTGTATAAATGTACTGGTGTTTTTCATACAATTGTATATTTCACAGATTCGGGCCTCTTCATACACACTATTCAGCTGTCATTTACTTTCATTGTATAAAGCAGGGGTCTCCAAACTTTTCAAACAAAGGGCCAGTATACTGTCCTTCAGACAGGCCGGATTAGGGCTAGTGAGGATAGAAAATGTCCTGGCCCCAGGATCAGTGAGAATAAACATGGCCTCGGGGTTGATGGTCAGTAGGAGGAAGAGTAGTGCCCCATCATTGGTTCTAGTGGGAAAAGTAGTGCCCCATCATTGGTTCTAGTGGGAAGAGTAGTGCCCCATCATTGGTTCTAGTGGGAAGAGTAGTGCCCCATCATTGGTTCTGGTGGGAAGAGTAGTGCCCCATCATTGGTTCTGGTGGGAAGAGTAGTGCCCCATCATTGGTTCTGGTGGGAAGAGTAGTGCCCCACATTGGTTCTGGTGGGAAGAGTAGTGCCCCATCATTGGTTCTGGTGGGAAGAGTAGTGCCCCATCATTGGTTTTGGTGGGAAGAGTAGTAACCCATCATTGGTTCTAGTGGGAAGAGTAGTAACCCATCATTGGTTCTAGTGGGAAGAGTAGTGCCCCATCGTTGGTTCTAGTGGGAAGAGTAGTGCCCCATCGTTGGTTCTAGTGGGAAGAGTAGTGCCCCATCGTTGGTATCAGTGGGAAGAGTAGTGCCCCATCGTTGGTTCTAGTGGGAAGAGTAGTGCCCCATCGTTGGTTCTAGTGGGAAGAGTAGTGCCCCATCGTTGGTTCTAGTGGGAAGAGTAGTGCCCCATCGTTGGTTCTAGTGGGGTTGGTTCTAAGAGTAGTGCCCCATTGTTGGTCTCAGTGGGAGCAATAGCGCCCCAAGGGCTGGATAAAGGATAGCAAAGGGCCACATCCGGCCGCCCCCAGGCCGCACTTTGGAGACCCCTGGTATAGAGTACTGTAATCTGGGGGCATTAGTATAGATCAAGTGGTGTAACTAACTGTCTTACCTGTTCTGATCTTTCTGTATGTTTTTTTGTTTTTCAGCTGGCTTTACAAAGAGGCTTCAGTACAGGAAGTGAAAGTATTGCCAGAAGATGGTGCAGCTGACGTGCTTGTAATAATAACCAATGCTGCTTATGGAAAATACAAAAAACTGTTTTGTAAATGAACATTTGCACTAGTTTTAATATCCCAGGGCTTGAAGTGCACTTAGACTGCTTTCCTGCTGTTTCAAAATATTGTGGACCTAGAATGTGAAGTGCACTTAGTCCTAATTACGATTTCAAAATGGTTTGGACAGTGGTGAATATTTATACAGAATATATTTAAAGGCTTTAAGCACTACAGAAGAAAGTTATGCCCCTAGAAGCCTGGGGTTGTATATGTAAATAAATGGATGTTTTCTTAAAAGAATCTTTGATACAACTTTATTAGCATTGTCCTGTAAAAATAAAACACATTTTCATAGGGTTATTTGTCAGTGTCTTCAACTGTTTAAGAATCATACTCTATGATTAAGAATGTTTCTGTGTATACTTTCAACATAAGAAGATAGCAGCAGTACAGAAAAAAATGTAGCAATATCAACAGATTGCATTCTGTTAAAGCAGAACTCGTGGCTAGGTCACGGGTCTTTTCCCTTCTGTAGGCAGAGGTCATTGACTCCTGCACTGAATGGCACACACAGACTTAGGTTCCTGCACACTAGCATTTTTTTTTTTCTGCTCCAAGAAGCTAAATAGTGTTATCCTGTGTGTCCATGCACACTACTTTAGGCTATTAGCATTTTTTGAGTTTCAGCATCTAGCAGCAGAAAAAAAAATAGGTTTTGTAGTTTTTTTTTGTTTTTTTTTGAGCGTTTTTTCAGCACTAAAAAAAAACCTAAATGGTCCTAAATGCTACCAAAACGCACCTGCTTTTTTTTTTTTTTCTAGCTCTTTGGGGGTTTTTTTCCTACATGTACTATAAAACCACTATTAAAATGCTAATGCTCCTAAAGAATGCTATTACCTAAGTGTTTGGTTTTTTTTTTTTAAAAAAATTTTTTAAGGTAAACTTAAACAAAAATGCTAGTATGCACGGAGCCTTGAACTCACAAAGAGTTTCTTGTAACCATGGCTTTCCTGTGCTTTCGGTTTGTGTACGGAATGCTTCCAGGAATTGAGTTTCAGCTTTGTGGGACAGAGCTCTGAACAAGGAATCCCCTGCAACAGGAATGTAATTTTTGATAAATTTACAAACGCTTTAAACTAAATGGATGCAAGAGCATTGTCTTTTCATGTTACAACACAGACTTACTTAGGTGATTATGAAGGTAGACCTGTGTTTCTCAACCTTTTTTCAGTCAAGGCACCCTCTAAAATTATGGACAGTCCTGAGACACCCACTAAAATTACGGACACCCCATTCTAAAATGTAAAAAAAGCTATTTTCTAATTGTTTTATAATAATGCAGAAACTTTCACGCATGTAGGACACCCAACATCAGAGGTGATTTATTCTTCCAAAGCAAATACACTTTTGCACACTGCTACGGACTGGTATTCTAATGTTTCTCGTCTCCATCACTCGGCTAACGTGACCACAGCACTGACTGAGAGGGACAAGGGAGGGTTAAACAAGGATGTTGTGCAGGCAACCAACATCCTCCTTATCAACTGATGACGTCATTGGCTGGCAGCTAGAAGGTGGTAATGGTGCACAATGAAAGTCTCTGGCTTTGTGTAACTAAAAGGCAGGCTTGTTCCACCCACTGGCTTGTATACAAATTTTGGGCAATTTTTAGGCACCCTGATTTGAAAAAGAGTGAGGTAGTAGTCAGTTTTAGAGCATGGTAGGCCTAAATGTATTCTTCTAGAAAAATGTAAGCCTAATGTACTTGTACATCCCGCATATAACCAGAATTGCATTTAGAAAAATGACACCATATTATGTAGCATCTTAAACACAAAGTGTAAAGCAACCCATAGATGAGTCTTTTTTTTATTTTTTTTCATTCAACCAGCAGGTTGAAAAAAGAAAAAAATATGACTCCGTTTCCCCCATCCACACGCACCTTGTGATGGCCAAATCCTCCCTCTAAGCTTTTGTATTCTGACAGCAGGGGGACTTCCCTGCTGTCAGAATTCACTGATCAGGTAGGGAAAACCAGTCAGGGTGGTTGTAAAACAGTCGATCAGTGGACTGACTTCTGTACAACCAAAATGCCCATATATGGATCAACATTTGGCCGATCTATGTATGGCCGACTTAACTGTAATACAAACTTTTGTTTTTATATTGTGCTGTTTTGAACCTCCGTCTGGCTTTTACTGTTTTTGTGCCTTTTGGGGATGATTATCCGTTTAAAAAAAAAAAAAAAAGTATGTACATGCCACAATTCTACAGGGATTCGAAAAAAAAAATACAAACACTGCATGATTTGCAGGTGTGAAAGTGACATGTTTCACATTGAAAGCGGAAGTGATGTAACATTCTTTTGCTTCAGCAGTGTTATGAGACACCTAGCTAACAGGTGGGAAGCCTCATTTTCTTCATTCACTGCATGTGCTGCTGGTAATACGGAGTCATGTCAGAGCTTACTGAGCTTCAAAGAGGGCAAATTGTTGGTACCTACTTAACTGGTGCCTCTGTGTCTGAAGATGCTAATTTATTTTCTGTGTTGTGGGAGGGAGTGAAGAGCTGATTTGGAGGGAAGGGACACACCCCCATTCACGCAACACAAAGGAACTGAGCTGAGGCTGGTATCTCTCCCCCCTCACCTTTTTAGCTCTTGAGGTCAGGAACACTTCTCAGAATTGACTGGTGCTGATAACCGAGGATCAAGACCACAGAGATATTGCACATAGTGCTTTGGAGAGAGGCAAATAAACACTATACAGAAATACGTGCTTTGTTCAGATTTCATGTCTGAGGTTTACAACAACTTTAAACAATGCAAGATATCTGGGCAGATATGCTGCAAACATTTACAGGGGTATATGACATGTATGTTAAGAAACATAGTAATAAAAAAAATGGAGCATTTAACACGATTTTAAAAGATAAGTTCGCCTTTCGTATCATACATCTACCCCCCCCCCCCCCCAATCCCCAGATCTGACTGTAAACGGGATCTTCTCCCCTCAGAAAAACATTTCTGAGTTTTAAGTAATTTAAGAGTCATTCAGCGTGCGCTGAATGTGAAAACTACAGGTACCGATATCCTTCGTGGCTGCTGGCTTGTAATTCTCAACAAACAGGGCGCTGTTGAGCGCTCTTAGTATTTCATTGAGTCTTCCTGTCAGTGTGCAATTGCTTGCCCCTACAAGCAGAAAGCTTCCACAGACTGTCTGCAAGAGCCCTGCATACCACTGTAGGTGCAAGGTTTTGCAGGCTCGTATTAAAAAAAAATAAATGCACATTTTTAACCTCTAAAAAAGATATACATTTTTTTTTTTTTTTTTTTTTTTACAAATGTGAACTTATCCTGTAAGGCTCAGTTAGATCACTACATTTTAGTAGGTAGCTTTGCAGTTATTTTTCTAAAGACATAATTCACTATTATAAAGTTGTAAGTTTTGATTGCTAATATAATGTGTATTATTAATATACTGTATATTGGCACGGAACTCACAAGGTTAACAGCAAAATGTTAATTACATGCTATTATGTGGCTGAACAGTTGCAGTTCAGAAACATATCTAACATATTTAACCTTCAGCACTATAATGAATAATCAGTTTTGTATGACAAATTACTTTAAATCTCAACCAAAATGACTCAACTATGACATTTCAACCATAGGTTGCAGGTTAGTCATCCTTATGTTAGGCTTGCTGCAAAGGAAATAAGAAGGAAGACTGAGTCAAGAAATACAAACTTATAACAAGCTAAACTGTTTCCTAGTTTGTGAGCAGCAAAATTGTAACTTAATTCAGCATGTTATGTCTATTGTCAGTTTTTATGCAACAGCAGCTTCTGATTGAGGTCTATAACATCAAAAACAAACTGGCCAGAGCCTATGAGGTCCTCTGCAATGATGTTGGTGGCATCTTTGCTAACTCCAGGATGTTGCATCTGCACCCAATTGTTCAAGAATGGGAGTTTAGGCAATGTTAATTTCTTCATGGACCCCAGTGGGTGTTTTAAGACATATGAGGTGTTTTCTGTCAAATTAAGACCAGCAACAAAAAATCCATCTGAAACAAGAAATGTATAAATGTTCTTAAAATTAGAATAGCACGCAAGACCTAGAAAAGTACACTGCTCAAAGAAAATTAAAGGAACACTTTTTTAACTCCTGGGATTTTGATCTGGTCAGTTAAGTAGCAGAGGGGGTTCTTAATCAGTTTCAGCTGCTTTGGTGTTAATGAAATTAACAACAGGTGCACTAGTTGGGTAACAATGAGGACCTCCAAAACAGGAATGGTTGCAAAGGTGGAGGCCACAGACGTTTTTTTTCCTACTTTTATGACTGTTTTTTGTGGAGAACGTTATGCTTCCTGTAACATCGTTCAGCATGACCGTTTTGGTGGTGGGTCAGTAATGGTCTGGGGAGGGATACCCATGGAGGGACGCACAGACTTCTACAGGCTTGGCAATGGCACCCTGACTGCCATTAGGTATTGGGATGAAATCCTTGGACCCATTGTCAGACCCTACGCTGGTGCAGTGGGTCCTGGGTTCCTCCTGGTGCACAACAATGCCCAGCTTCATGTGATGAGTGTATGCAGGAAGTTCCTGGAGGATGAAGGAACTGATACCATTGAATGGCTCCCACGCTCGCCTGACCTTCATGCAATAGAACACCTCTGGGATATCATATTTCAGTCCATCTGACGCCAGCAGGTTGCACCTCAGACTATCCAGGAGCTCAGTGATGCCCTGGTCCAGATCTGGGAGGAAATACCCCAGGACACCATCCATCGTCTCAATAGGAGCATGCCCAACATTGTCAGGCATGCATACAAGCACGTGGGGGCCATACAAACTACTGAGTACCATTTTGAGTTACTGCAATGAAATTTCAGCTAAATGGACTAGCCTGCTACATCATTTTTTCTCTTTGGTTTTCATGGTGTCTGAATTCAGTCCTCTGTAGGTTGATCATTTTTATTTCCATCAAACGATGGGGCATCCTTATGTTCCTAACACATTACCCAGTCCATATCAGTATAGATATCCATCCTGATATTTTTCCCCATTGACATCTGATGTGTTTTCAAAGTGTTCCTTTAAATTGTTTTGAGCAGTGTATTTAAAAAGTTTTAAAAGCCTAGTATTATTGAAAAATAAGATATTTTCAAGCACTAAGAAAATGCACAGTTTACTTTAATGAAGCGGAACTAAAGTCCCACAGTCAAAAATCAAATTGCTAAAAGTCTATTACAGGTAATTGTACTGTATATAATGCTTATGCAGTGCTTTACATACTAATCATTCACATCGGTCCCTGCACTCAAGGTGCTTACAATTTAATGTCCCTATCTCACAAGCATACATACAAGCACACACACTAGGGTATATTTTGACAGGAACCAATTAATTTACCAGCATTTGGAGTGTGGGAGGACACCACAGTACCTGGAGGAAACCCACACAGGCACAGGGAAAACATGCAAACAGCATGAAGTTTGTTTTTCAGGAGAAGAGATGTAGAAAGTCTTATTTGCTCCTAGCAATGTGTTATTCTTGGCATTGCAAGGGCAGGGTCCAGCATTGGATGATGTAATCAGCAAAGAGTCTGGACCTGTCATTGCTGGAGGAGTGCACATTAGGAGATAAGTGTGCCATAATACACAAATATGCTGCACATACTTGCACGTTATGCCAACAGCTTTCCAACAGACTTTAGTTCTGCTATAATTTATGACACTATTGTATTCTCTAATTATTGTAGACTGCATTGCGGTAGATACTAAGATGAGTTTTACACAGTTTGAGCTTTCTGTTGCAAAGCATTTCAAGCCACTCTTACATATTGTCTTATATTTAGCAGCTGAAATTTAGTCAATAATCTGATTGCATGGTAAAAAAAATGGAATAAAGTCCTCACTGTGTTTTTATCTATCTATTAGGCATTTGCATTTCAGATTGTTTAGAAATACTTCCACTAATAGAAATGGGTGTTAGATTGCCTAATCTCTTGATGTGTCTTTTTCTTTTAATTTTCAGACATGGCCTTTAATGTAACCATTTAACCAAACCTTAGTTGGTCCTGGTGGATAAGTTTTTCAGAACAAGCTAATGTAAGCACTAATGCATATGCTGTTACAGCAATAGCATCAGTTACTTTTCTATAACTAAGACAACAATAGTACCTGGTCGTCCAGAGTGCTTTTTTCTTCTCCAGGAAGCTAATCAACGAGTGCTTATTTGTTGTATTTGCCCACCAGTAAGGTATAGAAGGCCACAGGTATACTTTTTTTAATGCCACATTGTTGTCATAAGAAACAATAACTTGGAATCCTTTTTTCCACATGTTCCTTAGTGTAGGGGGTTCCTAGACAAACATAGTAAACAAGTATGTGCTCAGTGGCAATCAAAAGGTTTGTTGAAGCGCCTAAAGCTAAGCCTTTAAATTATGGGATAAAAAAACATTTCTAAAGTACTAACACAATCTACAAAATATACTGGATATTTAATGTTAAGACATTTGCTTAGATCTTTTACAAGAATAAATTTGAAGAGAAGATTAGTACTGGAAGAATAATAGCTGTAGGAAGACTGGTTACGCTTTCCCTTGAAAATTAGCTACAAGTACTGTACTTGCTTACTTATACAGTTGTGTTCAAAATAATAGCAGTCAGACATCACTAACCTGATCAATCACTGTTTTTGGTAGAAATGATATTTCTACATGGCAAATGATTTACTAGCAGGTGTAGTAGAGTAATAGAAACAGTCATGACATGCATGCTGCTGATTTGTGTAATTGAATCACTAATTGAAAGGGGCATGTTCAAAATAATAGCAGTGTGGAGTTCTATTAGTGAGGTCATTCATTCTTTGAAAAACAGGTGGCAATTATTGCCCTTATTTAAGGAAGGAAGGCAGCAAATGTTGCACATGCTGGTTACAGTGCATTTCTCTCTGAAATTCTGAGGAAAATGGGTCGTTCCAGACATTGTTCAGAAAAACATATAAAGAAGTGCAGAAAATGATAGGCTGCTCAGCTAAATGATCGCAAATGCTTTAAAATGGCAACCAAAACCTGAAAGACGTGGAAGAAAACAAAAAACTACTACCATTCGAATGGATAGAAGAATAGCCAAAATGGCAAGGACTCAGCCAACAATCAGCTCCAGGAAGATCAAAGAAGGTCTAAAGTTACCTGTGAGTACTGTTACAATTAGAAGACGCCTATGTGAAGCCAAGCTATCTGCAAGAAGCCCCCGCAAAGTCCCACTGTTGAAAAAAAGACGTGCTGAAAAGGTTACAATTTGCCAAAGAGCACATTGACTGGCCTAAAGAGAAATGGCGCAACATTTTGTGGACTGATGAAAGTAAGATTGTTCTTTTTGGGTCTAGTGGCCGGAGACAGTTTGTCAGACGACCCCAAACACTGAATTCAAGCCACAGTACACTGTGAAGCATTGTTGCGCAAGCATCATGATATGGGGATGTTTCTCATACTACGGTGTTGGGCCTATTTATCGCATACCAGGGATCATGGATCAGTTTGAATACATCAGAATACTTGAAGAGGTCATGCTGCCTTATGCTGAAGAGGAAATGCCCTTAAAATGGGTGTTCCAACAAGACAACGACCCCAAACACACCAGTAAACGTGCAACATCTTGGTTCCAGACCAACAAGATTGACATTATGGAGTGGCCAGCCCAATCCCCGGATCTTAATCAAACAGAAAACTTGTGGGGTGACATCAAAAATGCAGTTTCTGAGGCAAAACCAAGAAATAGTGAAGAACTGTGGAATGTAGTCCAATCATCCTGGGCTGGAATACCTGTTCACAGGTGCCAGAGGTTGGTTGACTCCATGCAACACAGATGTACAGCAGTTCTCAGAAACAGTGCCTATACAACTAAATATTCATTAAGTGATTCAAAGGAAAGCAAAATCTTTAAACATTTTTCAGTTTATATAGTGAATGTTTGAGTTTGTAAAGAAGAATACAGACACTGCTATTTTTTTGAACAGTCTAATATTCACTTTTCTTTAATTTTTTTTAGGGGAACAACACAATTTGATATATTTTTCTTCATGTTTTGATTTGGAATAGAATGTGTAGTGTTCCCAATGCATTTGTGTGTATGGAAATAAAAGCTATTAGAAGGATTTTGAGCTTTATTCGCTTTTTTCAATACACTACTATTATTGTGAACACAACTGTAAGAAACAGATCCTCACAAGTCTATGGAGTTCAGCACCATTTTCCAGGCATGTTATTATCAGAGCTGTGGATCCCTGGAGTTGCTATCTTGGATTTGGGACCCTGCTGTGACTTCAAATGTAAGGTTATGCACTTGGGGGCTAAGAATATGCATGCATCATACATACTAGGGGGGGTACAACTGGGGGAATCAATGGTGGAGAAGGATCTGGGAGTTCTGGTAGATCACAAGCTTAATAATGGCATGCAATGCCAAGCTGCGGTTTCTAAAGTGAGCAAAATCCTCTCTTGTATTAAGAGGTATAGACTCCAGAGAGAGAGATATCATATTACCCCTGTACAAATCATTAGTAATACCTCATCTGGAATATGCAGTTCAGTTTTGGGCACCAATTCACAAAAAGAACATTGGGAATTGGAGAAAGTACAGAGAAGGGCAACCAAACTGATAAGGAGGAGGAGCTCAGCTATGAGGAAAGATTCTCTCTTGAGAAGAGGCGATTAAGGGGGGGACACGATCAACATGTATAAATACATCAGTGGTTCATATACTCGGTGTAGAGCTATTCAGCCTGAGGTCATCACAGAGGACGACGAGGGCACTCTTTACGTCTGGAGGAAAATGTAATGTAATAAATATAATCTCCGAAACACGGAAAGGTTTCTTTACAGTGAGAGCTGTGAAAATGTGGAATAGACTCCCTCAAGAGTTGGTTCTGGCCAGCTCAGTTAACTGCTTCAAAAAAGGCCTGGATTCCTTCTTAGATACACAGAATATAACTGGTTACTAACATTTATAGGTAAGGTTGGATCCAGGGAATATCCGATTGCCTCTCGGGGGATCAGGAAGGAATTTTTTCCCCAGCAGGAGCAAATTGCATCATGCTTCTTTTTTTTTGCCTTTCTCTGGATCAACTGTGGGTATAGGATTATAACTTTTTTTTTTTTATGGTTGAACTTTTGTCTTTTTTCAGCCAGACTAACTATGTAACTTTGTAAATGAGTCCACTCCTCAATGCACATGCATGAGACCGAGCAGCAGAAGGAATAATGTCACATATCCCTGGAGGCTGCAGGGACTAGTCACCAAGAGGCTGGGAGTGGGCCTAGGTTAGGATTTAGTAAATTGAAGTGGGTACCATCCCAAAAAACCTGAAATTTATAGGCTGTGGGAGGGGAATGATTAGAGCAACTTTTTGTTTTCAGGTGAGGGTCCACTTTAAAGATTAGGTTAACCTTTAAGAAAATAAATAAATAAATGCACATATTTTTGCAGAACAAAGTGCCTGCACATTGCACCTGCAGTAGATCAGGAGTGTAATGCCAGGCTCCTGCAGACTCTTCCTCCAGTACCCTACCCTTATAGAAGTGCAGGCTTTCAGTTGGAGAGCTGCAGGAAGTGTCAACAGACTATGAGTACAATGATTACCACGCTTGTGTTCCATTGATAACTGTAATTCCATCTGCCACGATGGAAGGGTGGACTTGTAGTTCATTCATTCACTGATCTCTGTGAATGAATGCCACGGCTGTGCAGGCAGAGCTCTTGGACAATGAAAGGAAACCTCCTGCGCTATAGTGGATGTCCTACTAGTAGCAGCTCACACTTGCCTTAACCACAAGGTATATGAAACAACAAAAAAAAAAAAAATAACAAAAATTTTATTTTCACTATTTTATATTTTTTCACTATTTTATATTTTTTGTAGTTTCATCTACTTTGTGGTTAGAGCTCTTGGACAGCCGTGCTGATTTCAAAAGTGGTGTTGGTTGCAGGGGTGAAAACCCCCCACATACTGGCATGTGGGGAAAGAGGACACTCTGGGATGAGGGGGGGGAGGGGGGGGGCTTTGCTTTCCTTAGCAACATGTGAAACGCCCTGAAAATTGTTGTAACGTGTTGAAAAGGTGGACTTATCCTTTAAAGAGACCTTGTCATTTAAAAAGAAAATCTGGTGCATGTATAAAGTATAGGCACCTACAGATGTTTTTTGTGTCTTTCTATATCATTAAAATTTTGCCACAAAATGGTTAACAATGTAAAAAAGTGAGAATTTTAGTCAGTACACTTTAATATTAGCTTATATTAACTCCTTCATGCCTGAAGGCCAAGCAAACCTTAGTGCCTCAGCCCAGTTTTAAAACTTTGGCATGCGTTATTATAAACTGTACATCACAAATACTCTGTGTATGCAGGTGGATTATACCTTTTCTTTTTTGTTTTTTGGTGGCTTTTATTTGGTGAAAAATGGTAATAACTAGCCCCTGAAAACTGGCCCATTACAAAAAAAGTAAAATAAAAATAAAACAAATTCTTTTACGCCTGATGTTCGTGGCGATACTACATGCATACAGTATGTATATATTATTTATTTCAAAATTGGACCGCGCTAAGGTCACAAATTGACAAAATAAACTGTGCTATCTTTAAAATGATAACACTGAGCAGAATACAAATAAAATAAAAGTTTGCTCAGTGTTATCATTTTAAAGATTGCATAGTTTATTTTGTCAATTTGTGACCTTAGTGCGGTCCAATTTTAAAATATATAAGATTTTGTGTTTAGAAATTCACATATAGGACTGCTGCTATATAGGTATCTTATATATAGTTAATTTTTTCACATATATGTTAATTAATTTTTTTCCTAAGCGCAACAGCGCCCCCTTTTTTTCTTTTAAACATATGTATATATTATTTGTTTGTAATTGTGACAGGGAATGTTTACATTCTCCATACCTAAAAATCCCCATACCTATATAAGGCTAATATTCCCCCCCCTGCTACGCTCCATAAAAGCATCCTTTTGCCCCTTGGAAGCACTTTAATATTTCCTAGAATAAGGCCAATAAAAATGGTAGCCTTTCCTAAACTTTTTTTTTACCCAATGCAGGTCCTCCCTCTACTCCTCAAGCACTCAGTCATTAAATATGTTTATAAGATGTTCCAAGAATTCCTCTGGGGCAGCAGAAGAGCATCAATAGGTCTATGTAGTTTGCAACAATCTCTCCCAGTAATGGTGGTCTTAAGTTTCCTGACCTGGAACTGTACATATTACCGTCTCTAAGTACATAAGATGCTGGGGATTCATGGTACCTTGATGTACAAAGACACTGATCAAAATATGACCCTCCGGAACAACCTGCTGTATGTTCTTCATATACAGTACATAAAGAACTCCTGCCCATGGTGGTGTCAGCAAAGCCCATCTTGTAATACATGTGTGGTTGGCGTGGCATAAAATATGCACATGTTGCCTAATAAACAGCCATGCGTCTCTCTCCCCCCACCCCCACCTTGGAACAACTCGGACCTCCCAGAATTTTCCAGCCTTCCCTATAAGCAGTGGCACCTTGAAGGTCTTTGCTATATCAAACTCTTAGTGAATATCAACAAGCAACCACTTTCTTCTAATGTAGCCCTAGAAATATTTCCTTCTTTATCCAATCATTCATTTCTCGTTTTTACAAATGAAATCATACAATGCCCCTATTCTTAAAAAAAAATAAATAAATCTCAGAAGGATTGGGGAAATTCTTTGGATACACGTCTGGGATATCCTAACCCAGATAAAAAAGCAATTTGTATTCTATACAATTTTTTCAGACAGCCAATGAAGTAATCCCCTTTAAATGGACCGGGAATATTCCCCCGCTTTTGATTGGTGCCCTTTTAAAAATGCTGCGTTTGGGGCACTATCAAAGCCACAATGTATCATAAAATTATGCTTCAACTTATCCATCAGTCTTATATATCTTTGCATTGTTCCTACTGTTTGCCTAATTAATTTCCTGGACATTAAAGTGTTACTAAACCCACAACAGTACAATCAGTCTGTATATACAGTAAAGCATGCTTGTTATACTCACTGTGGAACCTAAGGGGTTAATCCTCTGCATTGTGTAAAAACGCTGTTTGATCCTGTCTTCTCTAATCCTCTCTTTCTTCCAGTGTCCCCTTTTTATCTCCTGATAAGACATATTGTGTGGAGACACTCTGCTCATGCTCAGTTTGGTGTGCATTGCTAGAGAGGTTTTTATTTCTTGTGAGAGTGCATGTGATCATCACAGGGCCAATCAGCACTGTCCAAACAGAGGTTCAGGGGTTCTGAATCCTCCTAGAGCAGAATGAAAACTCCTCCTACAAGCTTTAACCAGTGCACTGCTGGGACACTGATAGAAGTCACAAGACAGCTCTAACTGCTGATGAGAAAAGGTATTTAGCAGTTTTATATTTACTAAAAATAATTGCATTTCCATGTTCTGTGTGCTGTGGGAGACCAGATATAGTGAATACAGGATCCTGGGTTTAGTAACACTTTAACATCTAAAGGGGCTGAAAGCAACTGCTAACTATCATATCCCTTGTGGCACGGAAGACTATTCTACATAAACGGACCTACCCAGAACCTCCTAATGTTTCTTTATTTATAGCGAAATTATCCTACATTGTTCACATGGAATGGGTGGAGGCCTCCTTGCATGAAGAAATTTGAACCCGCAATTCCTTAACATTTGTGAATCTTTCATTAAAGCTTTGCCTGTGGAAACTCAACAATCTATAATGCAATGCATTCAACATACTCAATGGTATCTACTCAGACTCCTAGCCAATGACATTCCACACCTCTCTTAATTTAAATTACACATGTTAATCTAAAAATTGATACCTTCAGCCCAGGGGCGGACTGACAACTCATGGGGCCCCCGGGCAATAAGGATCATGAGGCCCCTGTGTTCTTGCCCAAACTCAAAAAAAGCCTATGAAAAAGGTACCAGGGGCATCTCATGGGGCCCCCTACTGACCCCGGGCCCTCGGGCAGTGCCCGAATTTCCAAATGGTCAGTCCGCCCCTGCCTCAGCCTCTTCCCTTTGCTTGCTGCTTACTAGTCTGACTTCCATCCATTCAAATATTTCTTAATGTACACCACTAGATCCAGCACTGCCAAGTCTCTCTCAACTTATACTAACATACTGTATATATTGTCTTTTTTTATTAAACTTGTCAGCCAAATGTTGTGGCCATTGTTCTTAATTGCATCCTCACAATAAAATGTAATTTATCCACCTCCCGCCCGCCATGTAGTAATATGACGGACGCAAGGTGGTTCTCTCGTTCTGGGAGGAAGTCATATGATGTCCTCCCATTCTAACCGCGCATGCGCGGCTCCCGGAGCACGCAGCGCGGCGATCGGCGGTGCGCTGTGTCCCTCTGACACAGAGGATCACCAATCCACAGCAAGAGCCGAAGATGTCGGCTCGGTCATGTGATCAGCTGTGTCCAATCACAGCTGATCACATGTAAACAGGGAAATGACGGTTATCGGCATTTCTCTCCCCACGAGCTGTCACGCTGACAGTACACGGTAATCGGCATTCCTCGGAGGGGACATGTACACAGATCATCAGAGCACTGATGATCAGTGTGCCCTGATGATCTGTGTAGCCCCAGCAGCGCCACCTGTCAGTGTCCATCAGTGCCAGCTCTCAGTGCTCATCCATGCCACCTGCCAGTGCCACATCAATGCCACATTTCAGTGCCCATCAGTGCCACATCAATGCCACATTTCAGTGCCCATCAGTGCCACATCAATGCCACATTTCAGTGCCCATCTGAGCTGCCTTTTAGTGTCACCCATCAGTGCCAGTCAGTGCCACCTATCAATGCCAGTCAGTGCCACCTATCAGTGCCGCCTATCAGTGCCAGTCAGTGCCGCCTATCTGTGTGCATCAGTGCTGCCTATCAGTGCCACCTAACAGTGCCAGTCAGTGCCGCCTATCAGTGCCAGTCAGTGCTGCCTATCAGTGCCAGTCAGTGCCGCCTATCAGTGCTGCCTATCAGTGCCAGATATGAGTGCTGCCTTTCAGTGCCCATCAGTGATGCCTATCAATGCCCATCAGTGCAACCTACCAGTGCCTCCTCATCAGTGCCCATCAGTGCCACCTATCAATGTCCATCAGTGCAGCCAATCAGTGCACATCACTGCAGCCTCATTAGTGCAGATCAGTGAAGGAGAAAAATCACTTATTTACAAAATGTTATAACGAAAACTAAGAAAAAAACTTTTTTTTTTCAAAATTTTCAGTGGTTTTTGGTTTGTTTAAGAAAAAATAAAAAACCCAGAGGTGATTAAATACCACCAAAATAAAGCTCTATTTGTCACAAAAAAATGATAAAAATTTCATATGGGTACAGTGCTGCATGATCACGCAATTGTCATTCAAAGTGCATCAGCGCTGAAAGCTGGAAATTGGCCTGGGCAGGAAGGGGGTATAAGTGCCCTGTAGGCTAGTAGTTAAAAAAATAAATAAAATTGTTTACATTCTTTTCTGACTAGGAGAAAAAGATGCAATGTATTTTTTTCTCCATTCAGAGGAGAAAGAGTACAGGGTCGGGTTTTATTGAGTGATCAATGCGACTGCTAATCACAGGCTATCACATCGATCATTAGTACGAGACCAGGAGCCATCAGTGACAGCTCAGTCTCCTACTGGGAGGTCCTCCTGCTACATACTTTTGTTGATCTGATCAAATCAGCACTGCTGTAATCTTTATATTATAAAAAAAAGTGTGATAAAAATATTGCAGCATAGCTATTAAACATAGGTCCATAAAAGTGGTTTTAAAGGTTCAGCTTTAAAAAAAAACCAAACAAACATGTCATACAATGCAGCACCAATCCTTCTCCTCTTAAGTCCCCTGCCGGTGCTTCTGGCTCCTCTCACCACTGAGCTGCTTGCTCTGGGGGAACTCTCGTGTATGCTCGCTCCCGAGCTGCCTCAGTGCGTCTATGGAACACACACAGCATGGATCATCCCCGACCCCTGCTCGCTCGCTCCTCACTGGCTGATTGACAGCAGCGGGAGCCAATAGCTCCTGCTGCTGTGTCTCAGCCAATAAGGAAAGGCTTGTTTCTCATACACCTTGCTGGATTGGGATCAGCCATTCCACGGCTTGAGAGCGTTCCCGCTTCCGGAAGCACAGCCAAATCTAGCAGTCTCGCTCAGGAGTGGAGCAGTGGATCCTCTGGACATGTGACAGCCTCCAGATGCAGCAGTAACACTGATAAGTGCTTCTCCTCTCTCTAAAATGTGAGTTTCCAATTGTCCTACAATAAAGCCTTTTGTTGTTTGTCAGTGCGATTTGGCAGCCCTTTCATATGAATGGATTGAAATTAGCACCCAACAGCACGAAAAGTAGTGCCCGCACTACTTTTGAATACCGTGCCACACCAAATCGCACCGGTACTGCAGTACCATGTGTCTTGGTGCCCACAAACGCATGGTGTTGTGATCTGCATTTTGGGTGCTGGTAACAATGTATTAGCACCTGCAGCAGATCGCAAAGATGGGGAAAAGTGCACGGAACACTCTTTTCCCATACCGCATTCTGATGTGAATCAATCCTTAAAAATACAATGTAGGATAAGCATAATCTGCGATTTCTTGCTGTTCTGATACCATATATTATTAGCAACCACACAAAATAACAGCTATTGGTTAGATGCCTAAAATTTGTAGTTATCTTAAGTGCAGTGACAGGGGTTTCTGCATCATAAAAGTGATTCACAATTGCACATACTTTAAGAGCCTACTTAGACATAGGCAAGAAAGATTTGAATATATATGTTTTTTAACCTTACATATTTTGGACATAACCTGGATCCAAATATCCTTTGTATGCAGCTAATTAGATGCATATGGTGTACTGGGGACATCGATTGTAGGTTACGACATGCTAGGATGAGTATCTCCTTTGGGTTCTTTGTCATCCAGTCTGAGATCTCATTTAGAATTTCCTAAGGTGGGAAAAAGCAACAAACAATTATAATAATACACAGGGTTTATTTTATTTCTTTTCAAAGAGAACATCAATTTAGCAAACATTGCTTCCAGTATAATACTTTTAATATAGTGTAAATTGTAATTAGGAACTTTTCTTATTGATTACTTACCTTAATTATTAAGATGTAATTTCTCTATGTTTATAAACTAAATCTATTTATTTGACTGAATGGTTTCCATAGGAAGACATGATTTGATTCATACTCCAGTTACAGTAAGTAAGCAATTACTTACCTCTACAGTCAAAAATGTATACAATCCATGTATGAAATATAGGTTTGGAGAAGGAATGTCAGGCCTGTGAGCTATTCGAAGATCGACGTATCTTATACCAGCATCCAGCTGCTGAGCAACAGTTAAAGTCTAAAAATTGAACAAAAACAATTTAAACATTTTGTACCAGTACAGGTTAATGTATATTAAAAGATAGATTAATATATCAGAACAATCCCCAGTAACAGTAGTAATTAGGTTTACTTTATGATAACAGCCTTCTGAAACAGTATCAGTACATTTTATTTTACAAGTCTTAACAAAGGCAGAGCTGAATACCTGCCAGCCACATACCCTGGATACAGATGTATTTTGTAACGCTTGTGCATACACATTCAATCCTGAGTTTACATAAAAGTTTTATTTCTGGAAGTAAAAAGGAAATGTAAATGTCTCCTTATATTTTAATAATTCCTATTATTTTACTAATTAAGGGCTCTTGCACAGGAGCAAGTATAGCATATGAGAATATTTTCTGTTCTTTGCATGCGCCCATACACTACACTCGTGCTTTTGTCAACAGTGATGTATACCCAATTACGCACAGTCATTCATGTCTATGGGAGGCTGTACGCAGCATCTAGGCTCCTGGTCAGGGCAGAGACACTGGAATTTATGCTTCATAGGCCCAGCCACCCAGCAAGAGCCCCTAAACTGAACTAGTTCGCATATATACATTTTTTCACTTTTTTCTTTTCCCTAAAGTTACAAGAATTCTGTTGGAACACTCGATCATTCTGCCATTTTTAAAACTCCCTATATAAAACTCCTTATATTTACTGCTAAAGTTGCCTGCAAAAGTGTTAAAAAGGAAAGCATATCTAATTGTTTGTAACCTCCAGTCTTCAGGATGAGCAATGGGCATCCTAAAATTGATACTAGGACTTCAACCATTGTAAATCCAATACAATATTATTAAAGTGGAAGATAAAGCAAATAACAATTATTCTTAAAAATGTGGCCTCCCCCCCTCCTCCAACCTATCCTGCACGGCCAGTATAAAAAAAAAGCTGTTTAAATACCTTTTGTTTTTAACCGGCTCTGATGAAGTTACGTGATCCAGCAGCTCCGACTCCCCTGTGTCAGAGAGCAGAAGCTCCTGCAGGGGAAAGGAGAGAGCACCAACAAGAATGGGCAATAGGAGTTGTCAAATGCTCCCTTACAGTCAGAGCTGCCATATCGCTTAGACCAGCAGTCTCCAAACTGCAGCCCAGAGGCCAGATGCGGCTCTTTGTTTGCTTTATTTGGCCCTTGGGGAAATTTTCCTCCCACTGATACAATACACTATTCCTCCCACTGACACCAACAATGGGGTCATAATTCCTGCTACTGACATCAATTACTGAGCACAATTCCTCCCACTTACACCAATGATGGGGCACTATTCCTCCCACTGACACCAACAATGGAACACTATTCCTCCCACCAAGGACCAATGATGGGGCAATAATCCTCCCACTGACACCAACAATGGGGCACTATTCCTCCCACTGACACCAACAATGGGACACTATTCCTCCCACTGACACCGATGTGGCACTATTCCTCCCCCACTGACACCAATGATAGGGTTCTATTTCCTCCCACTGACACCAGTCATGGAGCACTATTCCTTCCATTGACACCAACAATGGGACACTACTATTCCTTGACCACCAACAATGGGACACTATTCCTTCCATTGACACCAACAATGGGACACTATTCCTCCCACTGACACCAATGTGGCACTATTCCTCCCACTGACACAATGATGGGTTCTTTTCCTCCCACTGACACCAGTCATGGAGCACTATTCCTTCCATTGACACCAACAATGGGACACTATTCCTTCCACTGGGGACACTATTCCTCCCACTGACACCAACAATGGGACACTATTCCTCCCACTGACACCAACAATGGGACACTATTCCTCCCACTGACACCGATGTGGCACTATTCCTCCCACTGACACCAATGATGGGGCTCTATTCCTCCCACTGACACCAATCATGGAGCATTATTCCTTCCACTTACACCAATGATAGGGCACTATTCCTCCCACTGATACTAATGATAGAGCACTATTCCTCCCACTGATACTAATGATGATGGGCACTATTCCTCCAACTGACACAAATGATGGGGTGATATTCCTCCCCCTAATGCCAAAGATGCATTTTTTTTCTCCCACTGATGTCAGAACAATTTCTATTTCCAAAGACCACAGTCTGCCCCCCCCCCCCCTAAAGCCTGAAGCACAGTAAACTGGCCCTTTGTTTAGAAAGTTTAGAGACCCCTGACATAGACCACACTGGAACGGTTATAAAAAAAGCATAACTTATCACAAAAGTCGTATTTTCATATAGCTAGTCAGGTAGAAAAAAAGATATAAGTCCATCCAGTTCGACCAACAGTAAAAAAAATAAAAATACAAAACCTCCATAAAAACAATCATATATTCACATTTGATCTCAATAAACGCAATAAAATTCCCTATGAATCATGGTCCAATTTGCTCCAATGGAAAAAAAAAATCTTTCCTGTTCCCTCAGAAGGCAACAATTTTCTTTAGGGTGTCAAAAGTTAAAAGTTACAAATAATGGATAGTGTGTGGAATAAATTGGGTTCTTTATCACACCCAACCAACAAACTAATCAGCAGCTGCCAACTCCTGTGGTGCAGCTGACACTTTTGGACTGCCTTATTTTTCTCAACATCTTCATTATTAGATCCAAAGAACAAGTTATTATTAATGACCAAAGATGATTGTCACACCTTAAAGCCTGATTTCAGACAAAATTATTTTTTAGGCCTTGAACAAAATGGGAAAAGGTTAGAGCCTATGTAAGTTGTTTTTTTCTGTTGTCTGTGACTCCATTGGGGAAACGTCCTCTTGCATCTTTTCCTAGTGACATGTCATGAGAACAGGCTGTGGACAGTAATCCCTCCAACAAGGACATAGGGAGCAATAAAACCCTGATAGAGTGTTGTAACTCTCCAACGGTAAAAAAAAAAATGCATAGTTGTGCGTCCATTAGGAAGACAGTAGGTCATGTCCCCTTAGGTTGGCATGGCACCTTTCCATTACTGGCTGGAAAGTACTTTTTCAAGTTTTATATTTCTAGTGCAGGGGAATGGAAATGTAATAATCAATGATTTCTGATTTGTTAAGAAAGCCAATGGCTAGCAACCAACAAGCGTAATGCCAGTAAAGGCCCTGGCCTGTGTGATCTGTCCACATATCTAGGTCTGGGCCTAAAAAACACTTGGTCTACAACAACTATGAATACCATCACATTAGGAAATTAAAAAAAATTATCGTCTAAAAAAAAAAATGATGTACTTCAACATCTGGTAAGTAAATTAAGGATAGAAATACAGAAAATAATACTTAGAAGTCCTATGGGGTTTTTTTTTAACAATATACAGGTTAGTGATTTAACAATATATGCAAAATGTTATAACTCAAAGATCAGTTATGGTTTCTAAACATCAAAATAAATATAAAATACATACCTGTGTCATACTCCATCGTAATATTATTTTGCGTGTTAGAGAAGGCACATTTTCCCTAAAAATAGCAGCAACTTTGGCGAATCTGGAATCAAGTGGTGAATATCTGTCTAAACAATAAGTCATGGTGTCATGGCTCCCTGATAAAGAAACATACAAATAATTATAGGATACAAAGTCTTCCTCTTGTAGAATCAGGTTTAATTAAATAATCAGGTTTACAGTTTACGTTTAAATCTATACTTTTAGCACAATGGCTTTTTGGGGAGAACAGCTGGTTTCCAAGATGGTCTTGTTATCAGATCAATTTAAAAGTGATAAGGATGATTTATTTTACATATTTAACTTCTCAAAATGTGTCAAGGTTTAGATAGCCTTATATTTTTAATTGTACAATTGATAACAATAAATGTACATGGAAACAGTCATATTTGCTCACTGCATACACAAGCTTTGCTTTCTGCTTTGAGCTTCTGTCCACAAATTATAGCATTGCTTTACTTTACTGCTCCTTCTTTCAAAGTAATCCTGAGTCAGCTGAACAATGTACAATGCATGGCTATTATCTTATCTCAACTGAGACAAACAGAATAATTGCTCTTTGGCACTGAAAGCTCCCTCTAGTGGCTAAGCTACAAATCCCAGTACTTAAAGTAGAACTATAAGCAAAACCTTTTTTTTGGATAGCGCAAGTGAGGGTTATAACCCCTATCAGACTATTGTTTTCCCCGTATTCCCCATTGAAGAGATTTCCCTTCACTTCCTGTCCCATAGCCAAACAAGAAAGTAACAGGAAATCCCAGCAAATTAGGGGAATTCCTTGGGCCCCCCACAGGTCACCAGACCTAGAGTCTCCCAATATAAGATTTCCCTTCTACAAGCGTACCTCGGTTTACAAACGCCTCGGTTAACGTAATTTTCGGTTTACGAATGAAACTCCATTGAAAATAATGGCTCGGTTTACAAATGTTTTTATCAATACGAACGAATTGGTTTTCAATGTGTTTACAATTTTTTTTGTAATCATGTCCCTATACAGTATTTATGCCTTTAAAGGGCACTTTATAAAGAGTTTTGAACAGATAAGACTTCTTTTGACTTCTGACCTCCGGAACAGATTAATTCGTTTTCAATGCATTTATGAATTTTTTTTTAATCATGTCCCTTTATGCCTTTAACCACCTTCCGCCCGCACTATAGTACAATGACGGGCGCAAGGTGATTCTCTCATTCTGATAGGACGTCATATGATGTCCTACCATTCTCACTGTGCATGCGCGGCTCAGGGAGTGCGCAGTGTGGCGATCACCGGTCCGCTGTGTCCCTCAGACACAGCGGATCACGGAAAGAGTCGAAGATGTTGGCTCGGTCATGTGATCAGCTGTGTCCAATCACAAACTGATCACATGTAAACACGGAAATGCCGGTTATCGGCATTTCTCTCCTCTCGAGCTGTCACGCTGACAGCTCGAGAGGAGAGGAGAGCCGGTAATCGGCTTTCCGCAGAGGGGACATGTACACTGATCATCGGGCACTGATGATCAGTGTGCCCTGATGATCAGTGTGGCCCCAGAAGTGCCACCTGTCAGTGCTCATCAGTGCCATGTGCCAGTGCCCACCAGTGCCACGTGCCAGTGCCCATCAGTGCCACATCAATGCCACATATCAGTGCATACCAGTGCACATCAATGCCACATATCAGTGCCCATCTGAGCTGCCTTTCAATGTCACCCATCAGTGCCAGTCAGTGCCACCTATCAATGCCAATCAGTGCCACCTATCAGTGCTGCCTCAGTGCCACAGTGCCAGTCAGTGCCGCCTAACAGTGCCAGTCAGTGCCACCTATCAGTGCCAGTCAGTGCCACCTATCAGTGCCAGTCAGTGCTGCCTATCAGTGCCGCCTATCAGTGCCATATATCAGTGTCATGTATCAGTGCTGCCTTTAAGTGCCCATCAGTGATGCCTGTCAATGCCCATCAGTGCAACCTACCAGTGCCTCCTCATCAGTGCCCATCAGTGCCACCTATCAGTGTCGATCAGTGCAGCCTATCAGTGCCCATCACTGCAGCCTCATTAGCGCACATCAGTGAAGGAGAAAAATCACTTATTTACAAAATTGGATAACAAAAACTAAGAAAAAAATTTTTTTTTTCAAAATTTTCAGTGGTTTTTGGTTTGTTTAAGAAAAAATGAAAATCCCAGAGGTGATTAAATACCACCAAAATAAAGCTCTATCTGTCTTAAAAAAATGATAAAAATTTCATATGGGTACAGTGTTGCATGACCGCACAATTGTCATTCAAATTGTGACAGCGCTGAAAGCTGGAAATTGGCCTGGGCAGGAAGGGAGTATAAGTGCCCTGTAGGCTAGTGGTTAAAGTGCACTTTATAAAGAGTTTTTGAACAGATAAAACTTTTTTTTACTTATTTCTGACCTCCAAAATGGATTAATTTGTTTTTGAATGCATTTACAATTTTTTTTTTAATCATGTCCCTTTATGCCTTTAAAGTGCACTTTATAAAGAGTTGAACAGATAAGACTTTTTTTTTTTTTTACTTTTTTCTGATCTCTGGAACGGATTAATTGGTTTTCAATGCATTTATGATTTTTTTTTTTTTAATCATGTCCCTTTATGCCTTTAAAGTGCACTTTATAAAGAGTTTTTAACAGATAAAATACTTTTTTTTAACTTTTTTCTGACCTCCGGAATTGGTTTTCAATGCATTCCTATGGGAAACCGCGCTTCGTTTTACAAATTGTTCACAATACGAAAAGTCCCGCAGGTACACCTGTATTAGTTTTCTGGGGACAACCAAAAATGTGGGACTTTCTTTTCCTTTCACTTTCAATGATAATGGTAACCAGGACAAATAGAGAGGGTGAAGCCCCTTAACGGGGGGCACAGACTGCTCTAATCTGTCTCCACTATCCAAAACATAAAAAGTTTTGCCTGTAGTTATACTCTAAAGTGAATCTGCCATAAGAGAAGCACAAATATTCTCCTCATTTTTAGAAGGATAAATGCCTGCTTGTGAAAGAAATGGTAAACTCTGTATATACATGTGTATATATCATTTTGTATGCTTTGTCTACTGCAGACAAGTACTAGGCATTATATTAACTCATCTGCCACCTGCTCACATTCCAAAGACCTCGATAAGAACTATCCCACTGTATGTGTTGTCTACAATTGCAATAATAAATGTGATACCTACACATGCATCATTATAAAAAAAAGCGTCATGGCCTTGAACAACTATGTTTTCTGGGTCAGTAAAGCTGGAAGATCAGCATCAACATCCAGACAATTGTGATTTTCAGGAGAGTTCAGCAGTCACAACCTCCCTGTTTAATCAGTACAAGCTTTCTTTCATTACAACAAAAACATGAAGAGCAAAATTGTAAGAAATGTGAATGTGCAAGGCAGTGTTAATTTTGACATCAAATTTCAATTTAGTCATAGTCTTTTGAATACAATGCCAATTTAATTTTAGTCATATTTTAGTCATCTGAATTTATTTTAGTCGACTGCAATCTCCAGTACATTTAAGTCAACTTATATCATTTTAGTTGACTACAATCTAATGGGTTTAGTAAAAGCGGAGTTCCAGTCGCACTGTGAAAAAATAAAAGTCAGCAGCTACATGGAAAGCAACATGTCATGTCTTTGTTTTGACTGTGATCTATGGCTGTACATGCTCTAAATGCTTTTGTCTTCTCTTAAAACAATAAAGTATTTTTGGAAATAAAAGTCAGCAGCTACAAAAACTGTAACTGCTGACTTTTAAAAAACAGCCACTTACCTGTCCCACGATCCCGCAGTGTCCTCCCCCCCCAGCCCATTTCACCAGCCATCTGGTGTGTTCCAGGCGCTGGCATCTTCAGTGTGGGCTCATGGCTGTGACAGATTGCTGCTTCACAGCCGGGTGCCCACTGTGCATGCGCGAGTAGAACTGAATGGCCCCGTCCTCTTCTGGGGCTACCTGTGACATGTCCCAGAAGATATAAATATGACAGGGGCGGGCTGACCATTTGGAAACTCGGGCACTGCCCGAGGGCCCGGGGTCAGTAGGGGGCCCCATGATCCAAAAAATTATACCATAGGTTTGCATTCAAAAAAAGGGGGTTTACTGGCTTACTGTTCCCCTCTTCACGCTTATTATGCTTACTGCATTTCATACATGTAAACAGAGTTCTCACATTGATATACGTATATCCATAGTATAATTTTTGGATTCCCTGTTCGGGATTCACCATTATGATATTGGTGTTAATTCATTATTTAATATTATGGTATACCTATGGTATAATTTTTGGATACACCTCTTTTGGGAAGTGTTTACCTATGTGTTTGTACTACAGAGATATTAGACTCTTGTAGTCACTTTCTCTGTTGCACATACATTTAGACCGGTCTTGATGTCATTTTATATGGTTTTAGGTCTGTGTGTTATTGTCTCATACTGAGGTGATGGTAAACCAGGGCGAATGCCCATATGTCATATTTATATCTGTGTAATAAAGCATAATTTTTGGAAAATTTTCTGAGTGTCACGGTCTGTTCATAATGTAGCCGCTTTTCTGTGAATCTCTTTTCACAAACCCCCTTTTTTTTTTGGAAAATTTTCTGAATGCCTTTTTTGTAGCCGCTTTTCTGCTACTGAATGGAAACCAAACATTGGGTGACACGATAACTTAATTAACAACCTCTTAATAACTACCTATAGTATATAGGCCCCATGAGTTGCCCCTGGTACCTTTTTCATAGGCTTTTTTGAGTTTGGGCAAGGACACAGGGGCCCCATGATCCCCCCATCAGCGCCATGAGTTGTCAGTCCGCCCCTGCCCAGAAGACTACAGGGAGGGAGAATAGGAGGACAACTTCCGCTTCCGATCACCTATGAAATCACAGTGGGAGTGGGTACCTGTCAATTTCAGGTACCCGTTCCCCAAAGGTGCCAATCCTTAATGGGGAACAGGGGACTAGTCCTTAAAGCAGAACTTCCCCTCTTGGGTGGAGCTCCGCTTTAAATTGTAATCCATAATTTAGGCACTTCTCTAGAATTTCCAAACTCATTATGTACTCCTGGAGTAAAATTCTAATAACATTTTATTATTTGTGGTGTTGAGGCTTGAACA